CTGTCTCAAAGAAAAAGAGATAATCCCTTCCTCTAAGGGTAGTTCAGTCATTTCTGCCTGTATCCATTTACATACTAGCTGTCTGAGTCAATGTTCTATTGCTGTGAAGAGACACCATGACTATAAAACTCTAATAAAGGAAAACATTTCACTGGAGCTGCCTTACAGTTTCATAGGTTTAGTTCATTATCCTCATGATGGGAAACATAGTGACATACAGGCAGACAATGTGCTGAAGAAGTAGCTGAGAGTTCTACATTCAGATAGACAAGCAGCAGGAAGAGAGAAAGACATTGGACCTGGCTTGAGCATTTGAAATCTCAAAGCTCATCCTCACTGACACACTTCCTCCAACGAAGCCACACCTACTCCAACAAGGCCACACCTCCTAACAGTGCCACTGTTTGGTGACCAAGTATTCAAATCTATGAGTCTACGGGGGTAGGGGACAGTTATTATTCAAACCACCACAGTAGCCTTGGGATGTTGAATAATGATAGAAAGGGATACAAGGAATTTATAGGGAGCTGGTAACGTTTTTTGTTTTTGAAACAGTATCTCATGTATTTTAGGCTTGCCCAGGATGATGTTGAACTTCTGAATTTCTTCTATCTCCCAAGTGTTGGAATTAGGGACATTCACCCAGAGAGGGTGTTACAGAAGAACCCAGGGCCTCATGCATGCTAGGTGAATTATCTCCCAACTGAACCAGTCTCACCTTGGAGTTGAAAATGCTTTGGATTGTTTTGTTTCCCTCTTACAGCTTCCATGAGCACTGGGCACTCACATGGTGCACATACATAATATAGGCAAGCAACGTTTATAACATCAATCTTGCTAAAAAGGTGCAAGAATTGGTTTTAAAAAGCCACGTGATGTAATTCCATTTGGTTAGGTTTTTTTGTTGTTTGTTTTGTTTCGTTTTTTCAAGACAGAGTTTTTCTGTGGCATTGGAGGCTGTCCCACAACTAGCTCTTGTAGATCAGGCTAGTCTCAAACTCACAGAGATCCTCCTGCCTTTGCCTCCTGTGTGCTGGGATTAACGGCATGTGCCACCACAGCCCCGCTTGTAATTCCATTTGTATGAACTATCTATAACAGGTAAAGATATAGAGAAGAAAATGATTGTCTAGGACTCAGGGTACTGGGAGAACATGGGTCATGATGGAAGCAGGGAATGAATGACTCCTGTAAGCATAGAATGTCTTTTTAGGGTGAAGAAAATATTGTAAGCTGATTGTGGTGATAGTCATGCACTTCCACTCGTGTTAGCAAAACCCAACGAACTGTGCGATTTAAACTGATGAATTGTAGGGTACAAGGCATCAATAACATCTTAATAAAGTTTGTATGTAGAATCAGCAACATTGCTCAGTGGATGAAGGCCATGCTGCCCTGCATGATGCCCTGAATTGGATCTCCAGGCTCTGTGTGGTAGAAGAAGAGAGCTGACCTCCCCAAGTGGTGCTCTGACCTCCCGTGTGCCTCCTTGCTCCCACCAAAATAAATCAATGAATGTAATTTAAAAGCTTGTATGTTTATAGCATATATATTGTATGTCCATAGCATATATATATTGACTTTCACATAACTATTGTGATATATAAAGTAGGGAGAGGAGATATGCAGGGCTGGGTCTGGGGAAAATTTAATTACAGTGATGTTGGACTCACTGAGAAGATGTTTTCCGAGTCAGGTAGCCATCTAGGGGACCTTGAAAGAATTCTCCTTATTTATAAATTAAGGATAACAAGTACTACCTTTTTCATAATGTATGGGTCAGATGATTTGTTTTAAGACAGGATCTCTCTATACAGCCCTGGCTGTCCTGGAACTCACTGTGTAGACCAGACTAGCCTCAAACTCACAGAACTATGCCTGCCTTTACCTCACCGTGTGGGATGCAATGTACAATGGCCATTTCTTTTATTTTTACTTTTGTATAGTATTAATAATTTGATTTTACACAACTAAAAATCTTTACATTAGTAGAAGGTATTTGAATGCAAAGCAACACACTCAAAATAGATTAATTTCTTTCAGCAAATGCTTTAATAGCATTTCAGAGATGTAACACAAAAAGAAAAAAAATATCGGAAGTCCCTAGATTCCAGATGCTTCTAGTGGCCTCTACATCTCAGTGTAGTGTGATGTAATACAGCATGCAGTTGAATGCTGTATTCCACAAGGTAAAATAGGCATGGTTAGGAAACCGGATTAGTTTAGAATAAAGACATTTAAAAAAAACTTTAGGGGCCAGCACGATTGCTCAGTGGGTAGAGGTGCTTGCCACTCAGCCTGACTACCTTAGTTCCACTGGTGAGATCCACATAGAGGAAGAAGAGACCAACTCTTGAAAGTTGTCCTCTGACCTCCACACATGTGAGTTTCGGCATTCTAGTATTGGAGCACACACTCACATAAATAAATAGAAAACTTGAATAAAACGATGAGGGATTATCATCTATTAGCAACAGTTGTACAATGGTGGTCTCTCCTACTCAGCACATTTGAGAAATACAGAACATTTTACTAATATTCAGGGCCAATTGTGTGAGAAACATTTTTAAAAGATTTATTCATTGTTACTATTTTTTTTATTTTTTGAGACAGGGTTTCTCCGTGTAGCCCTGGCTGTGCTGGAACTGGACCTGTAGACCAGGTTGGCTTTGAACTCAGAGATCCATTTGCCTCTGCCTTCAAGTGCTGTGATTAAAGGCGTGTGCCACCACCATCAGGCTATTTTTTAAAGATTTATTTATTATGTATTCAGCGTTCTCCTGCATGTGTGTCTACAGGCCAGAAAAGGGCACCAAATATCATTACAGATGGTTGTGAGCCACCATGTGGTTGCTGGGAATTGAACTCAGGACCTCTGGAAGAGCAGACAGTGCTCTTAACTGCTGACCCATCTCTCCAGGCCCCAGGCTATTTTTTTTTTATTTAATTAGGTGTATATGTGTGCCTGTGAGTGAATAAATGCATGTCAGTATAGTGCCCACTGAGACCAGAAGAGGGCGTAGGATCCCCTAGAGCTGGAATTGTGAATGCCTTCCTGACTTGGGTGCTGGGCCCCTAACTCCAGGCCTATGTAAGAGCAATATGTACTCTTAACTGCTAAGACATCTCCCCAGCCCCAAGATGAACATTTTGAATGTTAACACAAAACATACTTTACAATTATTTGCAACCTAAACTCTCCCATAACTTCTGGGCATGATGGAGATGTCTTTAATGCCAGCACTGAGTCAAGGATCTCAGTGAATTCAAGGTCAACATGGTCTACACAGTGAGATCCCGTATCAAACCAAAACCAAACCAACTCTCCCATAAGTGAAAAATCCAAACCAGTTCTGTTGAGCAAGTGGCTATTTAGAAGGAGCTTTGGCTTTGACTCAATTTCACGGTTGGACAATGTTAGGATTAGACCTCAAACCTGGGACAAACAGCTGAGGTGCCTATGTAACACATCAAAGTGGACCTGGACACCAGGTTCTCCCAGCATTTCTCAGTCCCTACTTGTTATAGGCTATGGCTGGCATACTCCAGACTGGACTGCTCTTCCCACAGCTGCCCTTCCCCATATAACCCAGCCCTTTTGGCTATACCAGTCTCTTGAACCAGGATACCCCTCTTGGTTGGCAATTCCTCTCTCCATTCCCCTCTCGTCACATGGCCCAGCTCAGTCTGGTCATGTGCACTGTGGACTCTTCCAGATGTCCCTGCCTCTGGCTATGCTCTTCCTTTTATCTACAATAAAGCCTCTCCTCCACCATTCCTAGGAGCAGTCGTGATCTTTTTAAAAAGACTTATTTATTCATGTATTTTATGTATATGTGTGCTCTGTCTTCATGCACATAGAAGAAAGAATCAGATCTCATTACAGATGGTTGTGAGCCATCATGTGGTTGCTGGGAATTGAACTCAGGACCTCTGGAAGAACAGTCAAGTGCTCTTAACCCCTGAGCCATCTCTCTAGCCCCCACGTCATTATTATTATTATTATCATCATTATCATTATTATTATTATTTTCGTTCAGATACCTCAGGCCAGAAATAAACCTCTGTCTACAAAGAGTTCAGTTTGAAACAGGAGCATAGATCAGTAGTAGGGCTGTTGCCCAGCATACCTGAGACCTAAGATTCAATTCATAGCACCCCGGCCCCAAACAAAAGCCCTCACATATCTAATGGTGCGCTGGTCACTCAATTTAACGGTTGAGGAATGCACAGATGCACACATGTGTGTAAACCAAAAGAGACGAAGGTCACCTATCACAACTTTTTACTCAAAGTCTCAAACTGTCAGTGCAGTCAGATAGCAGAGAGAAACAGAACCCAACCTCTGATATTCCTCATGAAATAGGATTAATCAGAATCTGATGCGCTATTATCCATGATTATTTTTAACACTTGGGATAGGGCCAGCGCCAGAAGCTCCTCACAATCTGAGTGAGCCAGGTGTCCCCAGGGCCTCAGCGTGAACCAGCTTTGCAGCACAGAGAACCAGCACAACCGCGCAGGCGCTGCCTCGGTCAGGCGTCCGTGGAGATGGACCCGAAAGTCCTGACGCATGCGTATTTCACGAAGCCGAGGGCACCCGAGATTGGGCGGGGCTAGCTCAGAGTGCGCCTGCGCACTGCTCTCTGTCGCTGAGTGAGCTGCAGTCTCTAGAGCACCAAGGTGTTTCGGTCGCCTGCGGCCAACCTCGCCCGCAAACGCGGTGTTGTTGGGCTGCATCCCGAGCGGGGACATTGGTGGAGCACGGGACGCGGTCACCATGCCGGTGAGGACCGCCGCTGGGGCTCCGACTCATCGTGGCGGCCCTGCTCGGGGGCGCGGCCGTTGCCATAGAAGCGCGCGGCGGGCGGGCGGGCGGGGCAGGGCGGCGGGGCCGCGAGGCCTGGGCGGGGAAGGGCGTCAGGGCGGCGGGGCTGGGGTCCTGCGCGCACCGGGGCCACCCGGGACCCGCCCTGTCATCCCACTGCGTGCTGCATCTTGCCGGGCTCGCGCTGCTCGACAGAAAAGCGCCGCCGCCCGGCAGCCGGGGCTTGGTGACTGCGCGCAGCCGCGAGGGTCGTGCGGATGCCCGAGACCCCAGAGTCCACTTTCGGTCCCCGACTCCCCTGGTTGTAAGCTGTCATTCCTCTCGGGCGCCTTAGCTTATGCAAAATGTAACCCGTAGATGTCTTTGTGTGAGTACGCGGTGGCGATTTGGTTATCTTCTAAATTTTCTCGGATTGTTATCGTGCCATAATAAGGGGGTGGTTGTTAAGTCTCATCATTGGAGAAGACTTGAGCCCTGGAAGGTTATTTATTGGTTATGAGACCTTCAACAGCTATTCAAATAGTCTGGATCCTTAGTTTCCACACAAACTTCTTGTGGTTTTTATCAGGGCGAAATAAAATAATGCACAGGACACTTGAAGGACAGGGGTTGGTATTCAGTACAAAATGCTCAGTGGTTTTTTCTTTTTCTTTTTCTTTTTGGGTTTTCAAGACAGCGTTTCTCGCCTTGACTGCCCTGGAACTCATTCTGTAGACAGAGATCTGCCTACCTCTGCCTCCTGAGCATTGGGATAAAATTCGTGTGCTACCAGCGCCCAGCTCAGTGTTTGTTTCTATTTATTTCTTTCACTGCATTTGTAGCACGAATAAATAAAAGACCCAGAGACAGATATTGGGGTCCAACCTGAAGATCATGGAGGCAGATCAGGGAAGTAAAGCAGGCAAGCTACCAGAGAGCTCTCATCTCTAAAAGGGCTGGAGCATTCCTATTCTTTTTTTTTTTTTTTTTTTTTTTTTTTTTTTTTTTTTTGGTTTTTCAAGACAGAGTTTCTCTGTGGCTTTGGAGGCTGTCCTGGAACTCGCTCTGTAGACCAGGCTGGCCTCGAACTCACAGAGATCCGCCTGCCTCTGCCTCCCGAGTGCTGGGATTAAAGGCGTGTGCCACCAACGCCCGGCTGCATTCCTATTCTTAAAGGTGCTGGAGAATGATGCCTCCTGTCTTCAGTGTGGCTGGAGAATGAATGCTGATCAGGAGACCTTGCTCCTGTCTTATATACCTCCCTAGTGCTGGAACTAAAGGTCTGTGACCCCAGGTGCTGATAACATCCTTGTGTGAGTTATTTCTCTTTAGGACTGGATCAATCTTGTGTAGATCTGGATGGTCTTGGACTCAGAGATCCGTCTATCTCTTAATCCTAAATCCTAGGATTAAAGGTGTGTACTTACCACCACCTCCTATTTTCTGGCTGCTAGGATTAAAAGTGTGTGCCTGAGGCGGATTTCTGTGAGTTCGAGGCCAGCCTGGTCTACAGAGCGAGTTCCAGGACAGCCTCCAAAGCCACAGAGAAACCCTGTCTCGAAAAACCAAAAAAAAAAAAAGTGTGTGCCTGTCTTCCATGGCTTGTGGCTGACTTTGCTTTCTGAATCCTCAAACAAGCTTTAATAAATCATAAATAATATATAACCACAGGTATTAATTCAATAATACTCGCCACCAGCTGTATATATGCTAACCATGTAAGTAGTAGGGTTTGGTTGAGCAAAACTTGCAGGCATTTTTTAAATTTAATTTTATGTGTACAAGTGTTTGCCTGAATGCATGTATGTACACCACGAGCCCCAGGAAGGCAGAAGAGGACATGTGACTCTCTTGGAACTAGAGTTATAAGCAGTGGTGAGCTGCCACGTGCATGTTGGAAACTCCAACCTAGGTCCTCTGCAAGAATAGCAAGTGCTCTTAACCACTGAGCCATGTCTCCAGCCCCATTTGCCAAGTTTTTGACTTTGGAGAAAGAGAAGCTTGCCTTTTGAGGCAGAGGTGAAAACCATGCATACTGACAGAGAAGACAGTCTTAATAAATGAAGTGGATGAGTGGCATATGACAGGAATAGGCTCTGGTGAGTTGGAAAATGCTGCCATGAAAGAATGTTGGCCTACAGATACAGATCTACTTTTGTTTTCAAAAGACTTAAATTGCAGCCTGGTGGTGGTGGTGCACCCCTTTAATCCCAGCACTCAAGAGGTAGAGGCAGGTAGATCTCTGTGAGTTCGAGGGCAGCCTGATCTACAGAGTGAGTTCCAGAACAGCCAGGGCTGTTACACAGAGAAACCCTGTCTCAGAAAACTGAAAACCTAAAATAAAATAATAAATACAGACTAAAAAATAAAGTAAAAAATAGAGAATTCAAGGCTTTCCTTGGCATATAGTGAGTTCCAGATTGCCCTGTATAATGAGACCCTGTATAGAACAAAACAAAAATAATTTAAGCCAAATAAAAACTTTATGGGCTGAATTCAAACCCCTGACTAGTTGTTGAAACTCGGGTGAAGATAGAATGTCAGACATCAATCAAGGAGCAAACAAGAGTAAATCTGTATCCTTGAAAATCAGGATGTGCTCTCAGTGGGGAAAGAAAAAAGGCATTTGACCTAGTCAGAGAAGTGTTCCCAAAGGAGGTGGCTGCTGAGCTGAAAACTGAAGGATAAGTAGATATTATCTAAGTGAAGAAGGACTCCAGGAAAAGATCAGGAAACCCAGGGTGTTTGGGCTGAGGGAGGCAGAATATTTCTCGAAACCTAGAGACCTTTCTATACTGCCGTAACATTTTTTATTTTGGGCTTGTCATCTGTGGGGAAGTTTTATATTGGAGAGTATCATGATTTGATTTGTGTTTACACCATCATGTAGGAGGACAGATTGAAGGGCAGCTTAATTAGATGCAGGAGCATAGTTAGGAGACTGTAATGCAGGGCCCAGGTGATGGGATTTACCTTAGGGTGATGAAGGCTGACTTGGAGAGAAGCATATTGATAGTAATAGGACTGTTTTGATTTAGTTTCTTAGTCATGTAAAATTTTGAAAATCAAAACTTTATACAAACATTCATTAGACATTTTTCCTTATGTCATTGGCTTCTCTGTCCTTAACTTACTGTTGTCTTCTGTAGAGACAGTAAGTCATATATGGGTGTTTCATATGATAAAAATTTTACAAATGCATTCTAGAAAATGAAAATAGATGTTGTAGGAGAGCAAAGGACCTCATACATTGTTGGTTTGTTTTGAGACAGGGTCTCACTGTATTATATAGGCTGGTCTCAAACTCACAGAGATCCGCAGGCCTCTGCCTCCTGGAGTGCTGGGATCAAAGGTGTGCATTATAGTGCCTAGCTTGACCTCTCAACGTTCTTGATAAAGCTTGTCAACCATGTTCACATGTGCTTTTTTACAGGCAGGAAATTCAGAGGATGTCAGGGACTGTTGAGCCAATGTCATGTATACTAGTTCATTTTCTGCGTTTGAAACATTTACTGCAGATGTAAACTAGAGTTTTCTCTCCTCTCTTTTGTATTGTAAAAGAAATTTCCTTTTTGCATCCTTTCTGTATCCTTTTTCAATGATAAATTTGGGGCAATATTAATGTTCATTTCATTCTTTGTAAACATTGTCTCCACCAGATCAATAAATCCGAGAAGCCAGAAAGCTGCGATAATGTCAAGGTCGTTGTTAGGTGTCGGCCCCTCAATGAAAGAGAGAAATCAATGTGCTATAGACAGGCCGTCAGCGTGGATGAGATGAGGGGAACTATCACCGTCCATAAGATTGATTCATCCAACGAGCCTCCAAAGACGTTTACTTTTGATACTGTGTTTGGACCAGAAAGTAAACAACTTGATGTATATAACTTAACTGCAAGACCTATTATTGATTCTGTTCTGGAAGGCTACAATGGTGAGTGAATATGCAGCTTGCTTAAAAAAAAACAACAAAACTTTATTGTTGTAAAAGTAATGCCCCGTAAGATAAGTAGTTTACCTCTTACAAGGACAGCTTGATGAGTTATGGTAAACATATACAGCTGTTAGACCTCACAGCACTGTTTAGAACCCTAATGTCATCCTTAAACATTCCTTTCCACTATTCTTGCAACCCCCCACCCTGCATAGCCCCATAGTTTTCTCTTTTTGAAATTTCATTTAAGTGACGTCATAAAATGCCATCTTTTATTTTTTATTTTTATTTTACGTGTGTGTGTATCTTGGCTACGTGTAGGTCTGTGCTTGCACCACATTCGTGCAGTGCTAATTGAAGTCAGAAAGGGGCTGTCATTCCTGGGACTGGAGTTAAAGATGGTTGTGAGCCACTGTGCAGGTGCTGAGAATTCAACCTGGGTGCAGACAGGGTTTCTCTGTGTAATAATGCTGGTTGTCCTGGAACTGGATAGCAAGTTTGTAGACCAGGTTGGCCTCTAACTCAAAATTCTGCCTGCCTCTTTCTCCTGAATGCTGGGGTTAAAGGTGTTTGTCATCTCCCACACCCCACCCCACCCTGGGCTAAAATTTTCTTTTCTTTTCTTGTCTTTTTTGACACAGCATTTCTCTGTGGCTTTGGAGGCTGTCCTGGAACTAGCTCTTGTAGACCAGGCTGGTCTCGAACTCACAGAGATCCACCTGCCTCCTGAGTGCTGGTATTAAAGACGTGCACCACCACCACCACCACCACCACCACCACCACCCAGCAAAATGCTTTATTGTAAAATTATGTTTTCTTCTCTTTGTGTAATGTTTTTGAAGTTTACCTGTCTTTGCATATTATCAGTACTTTGTGACTTAATGACGAAAAAATGATTCTTTTAAATGTGTATGAATGAGTGCTTGTATGTGTACCATGTGCGTGTCTGGTGCCCTAAGAGGGCATCAGACTTGTGAGCCACTATGTGGATTCTAGGAGTAGAACATAGGTCCTCTAGAAGAGCAGCAAGGGCTTTTAAACCACTGAGCCGTCTCCAGCACCTACCCTATTTTATGGTGCACGTGCACATGTGTGTTTTGGTTTGGTTTTTTAAGACAGGGTTTCTCTCTCTAGCCCTGGCTGTTCTCTGTAGACCAGGCTGATCAGAAATCTTCCTGTCTTCCTACCTCTGCCTCCCCAGTGCTAGAATTAAAGGCTTTCACCACCATGTGTGGCTTATCTTGTGATTTTTTTTATACTACTGAATTGTGTTTCTTTATTGAGACAGGGTCTCATATAGCCCGGGTTGACCTTGAATTTGTTAGTAGTTGAGGGTAGACTCAAACTCCTTCCTGACTCTCCAGCCTCCAGCTCTCTGGGTTGCATTTTATTGTATGTATGTAACACATTCTGTCCATTTGCCAGTTGATGGAAATAATAGCCTTTGCTAAGATAAATAATGTGCCTATATGTTTTTTTTATAAAGATGTAAAGTCTGTCTTGGGTAGATCTCTGAAATTGGATTGTCAATGGTAAGCACACATACAGATATAAATATGTATATATGGATACCCCAGTACTCCAGCATTGTTTGATGGTGGTGGTATGTGCCTTTAAGTCCAGCACTTGGGGGCAGAGGCAGGCAGACATCTGAGTTTTTGGCTAGCCTGATCTACAAAGCAAGTTCCAGGAAAGTCAGGGGTACACAGAAAAACCCTGCTCCCCATCCCACCCCCAAAAAACCAAAACAAAGCCAACAAGAAGTTCCTTCTTTTGCTATTGAATTGGCTTCTGGGGGTGGGGAAACATTAAAAATCAATCTACATAACCACGTGTACTTACTTTTGGACTGCTTGTCCTATTCCATGGCCAGTCTGCCTTTTTTTTTTTTTTTTTTTTTTTTTTTTGGTTTTTTGAGACAGGGTTTCTCTGTATTGTTTTGGAGGCTATCCTGGAACTCACTTGGTAAGCCAGGCTTGGTCTTGAACTCACAGAAATCCGCCTGCCTCTGCTTTCCCGAGTGCTGGGATTAAAGGCTTGTGCCACCAACGCCCGGCCGGCCAGTCTACCTTGATAGCAGTAGCTTTGTAGCGCTGTTGAAGTTAGGTAGCAGCTGTGAGATAGCAGCTGTTCTCCAACTTGCTGAGGTTTTTTGTTTGTTTTCAAAATTGTTTTTGCCCTTTGTATTTTCATATAGATTTTATAACCACCTTAGCAGTTTTCATAAAAGACCTTTTGGGATGTTGATCCAGTTGTGTTGAATCGCTGTATTGACACTAAGGAGTCTTTTGTTTCATTACCATGACTGTTTGTTTATGTCTTGCTTAATTAAACTCTCACTTCTTCTAATAGTTTTCATGTTATTCTTATAAGCTTAAAAATTATTTTACTTACTTATGTGAGGATATATGTATAGCAACCAGAAGACAACTTGGAGGAGTCATTTTTTGCCTTCTACAATGGAAATCCCAGGGATCAAACTTAGTTGTCAGATTTGGTGGCAAGTGTCTTACCCACTCAGCCTCTCTCTCGCCCACTTCTCAGCATCCTATTGTAAATAGAATTGTGTGCATAATTTTACCTTGTGATTAAGTATTGTTGATATAGAGAAATGTGACAGACGGTGGTGGTGGACACCTTTAATCCCAGCACTCAGGAGGCAAAGGCAGGTGGATCTATCTGAGTTTGAGGCCAGCCTGGTCTACAGAGTGATTTCCAGGATAGCCAAAGCTACAGAAAGAAACCCTGTCTCAGAAAAAAACAAAACAAAAATACATGTGTATACTTCTGTATACAGATATATCTCTGTGTGTATATATATCTGTATACAAGTATGCATTTGGGTTTTTGGTTTTGTTTTGTTTTGTTTTGTTTTTCGAGACAGGGTTTCTCTGTATTGCTTTGGAGGCTGTCCTGGAACTCGCTCTGAAGATCAGGCTGGCCTCGGACTCACAGAGATCCCCCTGCCTCTGCCTCCCGAGTGCTGGGATTAAAGGCGTGCGCCACTAACTCTCAGCAAGTATTTGGTTTTTAGGTATTCTTATTAAGAGACAGCTGAAGTGACATAAACCCTCTCATCATTTTATAATGTGGGATTCGTGGGTTTTCAGTGGATCACAGTGTTCCTAGACTGTTTCCAGCTACCCGAGAAGGACTTTGCAAATACTTGCTGAGAGTTAGTGGCGCACGCCTTTAATCCCAGCACTCGGGAGGCAGAGGCAGGGGGATGGATCTCTGTGAGTCCGAGGCCAGCCTGATCTTCAGAGCGAGTTCCAGTACAGCCTCCAAAACAATACAGAGAAACACTGTCTCGGAGAAAAAAAAAAAAAAAGAACTGCCAAATGCTATTTCATAGTGACATCACCATTTCGTATTCATACCAGCAATGTGAGCATTCCAGTTTCTCCATGTCCTTGCCAGCATGTTACTGTCATTTTGGTTAGCATTGGCCTAATGGCACAAAGTGCTGTCTCATGACTTGCAGTTGATTTTATATATTGATTTCATATATTTAGCAAGGTTGTATCCTACAACTTAGTAATTCTAGTTGATTTTTAGTGCTTACCCCTGGGGTGGGGGATGGAGATCAAATTCAGACCCTTATACTTAAAAAAAAAAAGATTCTCTAGGATTTTCTATATGCATAATTATATTGTCTGCCAGTAAAGACAGTTTTTACTTTTCTTTTCAACCTTTTGTCTTTAATTTCGTTTTGTTGCCTGATAACCCTGGGCAGAAACTCCAATAAATGTTGAGCACAATTGGAGAGGGTGAACATTGTTGTCTTCTCTTGATCTTGGGGAAGATGTACTCATTCTTTGACTGGGGAGCCTTGTGTTAGCTGTGGATTTTTCACAAATATTCTCGGTCAGATTGAGGACTTGCCTTTCTTCTAGTTCAGTTTGTTGACAGGTTTGTTTTGCTTTGTCTCTCTCTCTTACAGGAATGTATATTGCAGTTTTTCAAATGCAGTTTCCTTTTTTAAAGTTTGCTACTAAGTTTTTATGAGTGAAGCCAGCTTTGTCATTTGTCATGAAATATTGTTCTTTTCAAATACTGTTAGGTTTGATTTGCCAAGTTTTTATTTGAAAATTTTACACCTGTGTTCATGAAGGATTTAAAAACACCGTTTTGGGAAATGTCTTTCCTAGTTTGAGTATCAGAATAATGCTAATTTTCTTAAAAGATTCATTTTTAAATTTTGTATGTGGGGTGGGGTATATGCTGGAAGAGTTATAGGTGGCTGTAAACCGCATAGCATGGATGCTGGGAATGGAACTTGGATCCTCTGCAAGATCAGTGCTCTTAACCCCTGGGCCATCCCTCTAGCCTCTAGCTCTAGTTTGATATAATAAATTACAGGTTCTCCCCATTGCAAACTTCTAGGGGAATTTGTGTAAAATTAACATTATTCCTTTCCTTTGGGCGCTGAAGTACTCATCCATGCTGAAGCTGGGTGTGGCCCTCTCTGTGGGAAGGCTGATAAACTCTTCTGATGCAGTTATTGGATGGGCCCATGACCACTCAGGTTCTCCCTGGTTCTCAGTGAGCTTCGCTAATTTGCCTTTTATGGAATTTGTATTTGCAGTTGTCATTTCAATCAGGAAGTTGTTTCTCATCTCTTGTAGCTCTGGGTCTTAGAATGTGGTGCAAACCTTTCTAGTCCCCACATGGTGATTTGTGTCTTCTTTGTCCTGACTAGTTGACTGGAGATTTATACTTGGGGTAGTTTTCACTTTTCCTATATTGCTTCATGTTTTCTACCTGATTTCTGTTCAGATCTTAATTGCTCCCTTTGGATTTAATTTTCTCTTGCTCGCTCTCTCTCTCTCTCTCTCTCTCTCTCTCTCTCTCTCTCTCTCTCTCTCTCTCTCTCTTTCTTTTTTTTTTTTTTTTTTTTGCCTTTTTGTTGCTGTTTGTTGGAAACAGAGTCTGTCTGTGTAGCTCTGGCTGTCCTAGAACTCACTCTGTCCGCCAGCCTGGCCTGGGACTCAGAAGTTCTTCTGCTTCTGCCTCCGGAGTGCTGGATTAAAGGCATGAGCCACTATATCCAGCCTGTTTTCTTAAGGTGGGAACTGAGGTCGCTGTTTTAGTTGGTTCACCCTTCTAATATAGGAGTTTAGTGATGTATCCGTCCCTCACATAACTGCTCTAGTGTCATCTAAAAGTCTTTGATATGCAGATCATGTTTTCACTTGTATGCATTTCAGAGTGCTTTCTATTCTGTGTGTGTGTGCAAGCACATGTTTATGTGTCTGCACCTTCATGTTTGTGCGGAGTCCATGCATGCCACATGTGTGCAATGACCAGAGGTCAGCCTTGAGTGTTGTTCCTCAGGAGGGATCGTCCTTGTTTTTAAGATGCGGACCTGGGTTGGCTAGCTAGTGAGCCCCAGGATCCTCCACAGTGTTGGAGTCCAAGCACGTCGCCACCTCTGGCTTTTGATGTCGTGATTGAACTTAGGTTCCTGTGCCTGTGTGACAAGCACTTTACCCGTCGAATCATCCATCTCCCAGATCATTGATTCTTTTAATACTTTATTTATATTTAGTTGAGATATTTTGTGGTTTTTCCAGCGGTTTTCTGTTGATTCTACACTAATTTAATTTTAGCTAGTGTTGTGTGATAAAGATTAATTAAAGTAACACTTGAAGCTAGTGAGCATACTTTTGTGATTTGAATCTTACTGGGTTTATTGAGACTTTTTTCTTCCCTGGAATGTAATTTATTGTTAAATGTTTTGTGTATTCTTGAAAGGCTGTGCGTTCTGCTGTTGAGGCAGGGGTGTTCTCTTAACATTTACTAGTCAGTTGGTTTGCTACATTGTTCCCCTCTTCTGTCTCTTTGGTCTGTGAGTCACTGAGAAGTCTCTGAGTATGTTTTCTGATTTGCCTTTTGTTGTTGTTGTTGTTAAGCAGGGTTTCACTAGGAACCTTTGGTTGGGCGCTGGGATTAAACAGGTGAACTACTCTGCTGGACTTCCTACTTTTTGTTCTTTCCTTTTCTTATATTTTGGAGCTCTGTGAGAAGATGCATGAATGCTTAGGATTTTTTGCCATCTTGGTGACTTTTTTTATTGTGAAACTGTTCTTTCTGTTTTGGTGTTTTGTTTTTTTCTGCCCCAGGGGTTCATGCTTGCCAGGCAAGTGCTGTACCACTAAGCTACATCGTTTACCCTGTGAAATCATCCCCCTTACTCTTTGCTCTGGAATTGGCTATGTCATTCTGGTTGCTAGCATGGTGTGTTCTTTCTCTATCCTTTTAATCCATTTGTGTTTTCTAAAAAGTGTACATGTGTGTGTCTGTGTCTCTGCGTGTGTCTGTGTCTCTGTGTGTGTGTCAGAGAGAGAGAAAGAGAAAAGGGAGGAGGGGGGCATGTGTGTGGCCACAAGGCTTGTGTGGAAGCCAGAGGACATCTCTGTGGAGTTGGTTTCTTCTTTCACTGTCACAGTGGGGCCGGGTTCAGGCTCAGGTGGCCAGATCAGCATGGCAAGTGCCTCCTTCCCACAGAACCACTCAGTGTCCTTAAAGTGTCGTTCTGATAGGGAGCTGCAGGGGGGCCTGCCCCACCAGTATCCGTGTGTCTTTCTCCTCAGGGGCCTTGAAGACTTTTTCCTTTATTGTTGGTTTCATTTTATTTGATTGTTGTATGCTTTGTTGGGTCTTTCTTTGTGTTAATGGTATTAAACTTTTTGGATTTGTAGATTACAGATTGCATCCATTGTGGGAACTTTTCTGCTGTTCTTTCTTCATATATTCTTAGTCCTTGTCCTCAAATCTTTTGGAAACTCCAGAGATATGTAGGAGCGTTGAAAGTGTCCTGCGGCTGCCTGATGCTCTGCTCCATTTTGGTTTTCCGTCTTCCCTGTTTTGCTTGTATGATTATGTTTTCTAGTGCACTGATCCACTCTGTGATGCCTCGTTTGCCCTTAGCACTCTGACTGCACTTCCCATCCCCCACACTGTCGTCTGTGTGCCAAGATGCCTGGGCTCTTCATGTCTCACATCCGTATCTCTAGCCCTGTTGAGCGCTTGGGCACTAATTCTGGCCATTCTCACTTTGACTTGGTTTTAGTTGACTGATCTGTTTTCTTTTCTGTTTTTATTATAAAATATTCTTTTTTTAAAAAAGATTTATTTATTTTATATATGAGTGCTCTATCTGCATGCACAATTTTATGCCAGAAGAGGGCATCAGATCCCACTATAGCTACCTTGTGGTTGCTGCAAATTGAACTCAGGACCTCTGGAAGAGTAGCCAGTCCTCTTAACTGCTGATCGGTCTCTCCAGCTTTGACTGATTTCTTTAATAGACCATATCATTTTGCTCTTTTGTAGATGTGGTAATTTCTGGTTGGATGCTAGACAGTGTGAATTTTACCATTAATTCTTGGTCTTTTTTAGTTCTATAAACATTTTGTTCTCAGAGCAAACTTGAAAACCAGTTTGATCCTTTTAGGGAGACATGTTCTCATTCTCTCTTCTTTTTCCCTCACCCACCCCCTCCTTCCCCTTCCTTTCTTTCTTGGTTTGGAGTCACAGTCTCACGTAGCCTAGGTTGACCTCGAACTTGGCCATACATGTAGCTCAGAATGATCTTGAGTCCTCCTTTTCCTGCCTCCCAACTTCTGGTATTTTAGACATGTACCTCCATGCCTAGTTTCAGATCTCTTTCTAGATTGGCTAATAAAGACCAGAACAGTGCTTCATCCTTCTTCACAGATGGTAAGATCCTTCTATGTATTGTACTAAACATCCTGAGAATTGTGGGGTTTCCAGTCTGTCTGTTCTTGGTTAGTGTGACTGCTGACCATTCTTTCCAGGTTTCCAAGCATGCTTCTCCCACAACCCCATTGGATGGCTTCCTTCCTCCTACTTATATTCTGGTGGGTATTCATACTTGAGCATCCTCTGCCAATGTCCAGAGCTCTCTCTGCATCCCTCTCCCCAGGACACTGCCTCCTTCAGACTTTGGTCACTTGAGTTTCATTTTGGAGTTCTCACAGGAAGTCTGTTCTCTATTTGTGGCCTTCTCTTGTTCTGTGATTTGGATTTGTTGGTCTTTCCTAAGCTCTGTATTGACTTTATTCAACAAGCATTTGCCTGTGTCTGCTGTAGACTGAGGAACTGGGGTGAATAAGGCCCCAGTCTCAATCCTCAGGTGAGGCTGAAGAGGTAGCATAAACTTCCCTCTGTAAGCCCACCCAGGCCCTGGCACCAGGAAGTTTCCTCAGGGCTTTACTTAAGGGCAGGAGCATGGAGACCAGAATTTTGTTTGGTTTTTAAGACAGGGTTTCTCTTTGTAGCTCTGGCTGTCCTAGAACTCACTATGTAGACCAGTCTGGCCTTGAACTCATAGAGATTCACCTGCCTCTGCCTCCTGGGTGCTATGCTAAAGGTATATGCTGGATTAGATTGTTTTTTAATTTAATTGTTTTGAAAACTGTTGCTTTCATTTTTTTCTACTTTCAGTTCTAGTTAGGATGTTTGGTTAATTTAGTCTTATTACTCCATCTTAGTTAGTTTCTTTGTGTGGCTTTGTAGCCTGTCCTGGCACTCACTCTGTAGACCAGGCTGGCCCTGAACTCACAATCTACCTGTCTCTGCCTCCCAAGTGGGATCAAAGGTGTGTGCAACCACCACCCAGCTAGTACTTGACACCTATTGTACATAAGTTGAATGTGTACTAGAATATGTTTTTGTTTTTGAGATAGGGTTTCTCTGTGTAACTCTGGCTGTCCTAGAACTTTAATGCCTCTGAGTGCTGGTATTAAAGGCATGTGTGACCATTTGCCTTTTTTTTTTTTTTTTTTTGAGGCAGTCTTATGACATAGTCCAGGCTACCCTCAAACTTTCAATGATCCTCTCACCTCTTCCTTTCCAGTGCTGGCATTATAGAGGTGTTCCATTGTGCCCAGCTTTAGAATGAAATTTTAGTTCAGGGAGTATGTTATATGACAGTTTCAACAGCTTAATTTAAGATTCATTGTCCTGGATCATCAGACTCTGGAAATAACAGACTTTCTGCATCATTTTCAGGGACCATTTTCGCATATGGACAGACTGGGACAGGCAAGACTTTCACCATGGAAGGCGTCCGTGCTGTGCCAGGGCTCAGAGGGGTCATCCCAAACTCATTTGCTCACATATTTGGTCACATCGCAAAAGCAGAAGGTGACACAAGGTGAGAGAGTACTTCCATTTCCTAATATTGAGAGGTTCAGTCCTGGAAAAGACCTCAAGGCATCAATTTTTTTAAGCGATTTATTTATTTATTTATTTATTGTGTATACAGTATTCTGCCTGCATGTATGCCTGCAGGCCAGAAGAGTGTGTCAGATCTCATTACAGATGGTTGTAAACCATCATGTGATTGCTGGGAATTGAACTCAGGTCCTCTGGAAAAGTAGTCAGTGCTCTTAACCTCTGAGCCATCTCTCCAGCCCTCAAGGCATCAAATTTATAAACATATTTAAAACATTGAATATTCCTTTGTGCTTTCAGGTTTTTGGTTCGGGTGTCATACTTGGAGATATATAATGAAGAAGTTCGAGACCTTTTGGGCAAGGATCAGACACAGCGGTTGGAGGTAAGGATGAAATTGGAGTTAAGATAAAAATTGGAGGGTAGGTTATGGTGGTACACGCCTTTAATCCCAGCACTCAGGAGGCAGAGGCAGGTGGATCTCTGTGAGTTCAAGGGCTGGTCTATAAAGTGAGTTCCAAGACAACCAGGGAGGCCTGCTCTTTTTTTGAAGGGAAAGGGAGGACCAGTGGGCCTGGGGGGAGAGGGGACATTCAAGGGCAGAGGGAAATGGGAGCTAGGAGGAGTGGAGGAAGGGGAGGCTGTGGTTGGGATCTGCTGTGTGAGAAAACAGTAAATAAAAAGAAATATGAAAAAAATTGGGTTAGAATGCTTGTCAAATTAAGATCCTTTTTGTACAACAGGTCCTTTAAAAAAAACTACCTGCATGTGTCATTTATAGTTACAAACTCATTTGAGCATAAGTCACTGAAGCATAGCTGCTGAGTTCGGGTGGTAAATTTGGGAGATAGTGCCATGTTAAAAATATTTTAAGATACAAGACAAACAAGAAAAAAGAAACCTTTTATTTACTTATTTTGTTTTTTGGAGACAGGGTTTCTCTGTGGCTTTGGAGGCTGTCCTGGGACCAGGCTGGCCTCGAACTCACAGAGATCCGCCTGCCTCTGCTTCCCCACCCGGCTAAGACAAGCCTTTTAAGCACTAGTATTGGAATATTTTTATTTTTGTAAGTGCGTAGTTTGATTTTTCTGTTTGAAGATCTTTGCCAGTGTTCTCCTACCCCAAACCAGTCTGCCTTCTATTTTTGTAAGTTTTACGTTAAATATCATGTTGCAGAAGCTAACTCTGTTCCTTTTAACTAGCTTGTCTTTGAATACATTCCCAGGGCTGGCAAGATGGTTCAACAAGTAAAGGGACTTGCCACCAAGCCTGAGGACCTGAGTTTAAATCTCTGGGATTCACATGTAGAAGGAGAGAACCAGCTTCCATATGTCTTCTGACCTCATGTGCCCTGGCATGCACAAAACACACACACACACACACACACACACACACACACACACACACACACACACACACACAGTAAACTATCTTCTCATACTGTCTTGTATTTTTTTCATGGCACCATCACAAATAATTTTGTGTGTGGTATTAATATGTACTGATGTATTATCACCTTTGTGAGGTATGGGCATTGCTTATAACCATACTCAACTATCTTCCCATATATAACAGTAGATGCTCAGTAAGTAACTGGAAAACTTATTATAAATATAAAGTCTTAGCATGATTTTTGTCTGCTTTTTAGGTTAAAGAAAGGCCAGATGTGGGAGTATATATCAAAGATTTATCAGCCTATGTGGTCAATAATGCTGACGACATGGATAGAATCATGACATTAGGCCACAAAAATCGTAAGTGTGGTATATAATTGTGATGAAATGCCTACATTCGAGTGCTGGTTGAGAAGCAAATAAATAATGGCTTTTGCCCCACAGAGGTTGATTTTTTTTTAATCTTTATTATATACACAGTGTTTTATCTACATGCCCGCAGGCCAGGAGAAGACACCAGATCTCACCATAGATGATTGTGAGCTACTGTATGGTTGCTGAGAATTGAACTCAGGACCTCTGGAAGAGCAGCCAGTGCTCTTAACCTCTGAGCCATTTCTCCGGCCCCAAGGTTGAATTGTTTTAAAAGTTCACTTATTTACTATCTAAGGAATATATATGAGTGAACAATAATATAGATTGTTTTTCATGCTACTGAAGTTTTCTTTTTGTTAGTACCAATCTTTCTTTTCCCCCTCCCTCCCTCCCTCCCTCCCTCCCTCCCTCCCTCCCTCCCTCCCTCCCTCCCTCCCTCCCTCCCTCCCTCCCTCCATCTTGAGACAGGGCCTTACTATCCTAGTAAGACTTTATTTCTTTTTATTTTATTTGTGTGGGAGTTTTGAGTTTTGCCTGCATGCATGTAAGTGCATCACATGTGTGCAGTGCCCACAAAGGTCAGAAGAGGGCGTAAGATTTCCTGGCACTGCAGTCACAGACAGTTGTGATTAGCCAAGAGCGCTGGGAACCAAACCCAGGTCCTCTGAAGAGCAGTAGACACTCCTAAGGAGCATCTCTCCAGCCTCTTTTATGTTTGTTTGGTTTTTGTTTTCTTGCCAAAGGATCTCTCTACATAGCCTTGGCTGTCCTATATATACCAGGCAGGCCTTGTACTCACAGAGACTTGCCTGTTTCTAACTCGTAAGTGCTGGTGTTAAAAGTGTGTGCCACCAAACCCGCTCTCCAGTCTCTTAATAGTGCCCAGTCTTTGAAACTGTCATACTGTTACAGCTTGCTCATTAAAACATTGATAACATTTTGGTTGAGCACTTAGTGAGTGGGAAGTGCTTGTGCTGTGTGCTTTATGGGGATGATCGATTAGTCTTTACTGTAGTCTATGGGGATATGAAGTTCCTACTTCATAAATAAGGACACTGAGATGTATTTTAAATACCATGTCTTTGTAATACTATTGCTAAGTGGTAGGGTAAGTGTTTGAACCTAGACTACTAGTCTGAGTTTTTCAGAATATATACTGCTTCCCTTCTGTTGAAAAGAAAAGCAAAATTAAGCTAACATTTTCTCCTTCTGGTAATTGTTACAGATTTAATCTAAAGGATAAAAATCTTGCCAGGTGTGATTGCACACACCTTTAATCCTAGTGTTCAGTAGGCAGAGGCAGGTGGACCTCTGAGTTTGAGGCCAGCTTTGTCTACATAGGGAGTTTTAGGCCAGACAGAAAGACCTGTCTTGTCCATGGTGGCTTCAAACTTGTGATCCTCCTGCCTCAGCCTCCTAAGTACTAGAATTTCAAGAATGAACTTCCACACTGATTGCTTAGCATGTGTTAAAATTTGTTTGTTTTTGTTTTTAGCGAAGTCTTACATGTAGCCCTGGTTGGCCTGGAACTTGATGTATAGATGAAGCTGACTCATAGAATTCCACCTGCTTCTACCTCCTGAGCACTGAGATTAAGTGCTTGCACCGTCTGTGCCCAGCTCTTCATGTTTAACAAAGTTCTTGTGGGACTGGCATCTTTAGATGCTGCTGGATATTGATCGATCTCATGTTTTTAATGACCCTCTATTGACTTAGCTATTCCATAGTAGATTAACCAATGTTGTGTTGGATCTTTCTGGTCCTTTCTGTTTCAAACAGTGTGGGTAACACAATTCCTCCTGCAACATCTAATGTGTGTGTGCAAATCATTCTGCAGTTTGAAGTCCCAAACATAACTCTCTAGAGAGAGTTGTCAGCAATTTTATCCCAATTATTCAACATGTGTTTCTTTTTGTAGTATAATTTTTTTTAAAGAGAGAAGATCTTGCTATGTTGCCAAGGCTGGCCTAGGTCACCTGGGTTGATGTGTTTCCTGCCTTGGCCTCCTAAGTACACACCACCTTGTCCAGCATCATAGATAGTTATAATCTTTACATAGTCATATTTGGGAGTCAAGTGAAGAATGTTATTCTGTGATTATATTTTAATATTTGGGAATGAAGTGAAGAATCTTATGCTATGATTATGTTTTAATGTGAGTACATTACAGATTCTTTAATTATAGTGTGAATTATAAAAGAAGTGTACAGTCGCTGAACACCTGTAGTTTATAGTTAGTCAGATAGTGTCTTTGACTCTGATGAAATCAGGTATTTTAAATGTTTCAGGTATTTAATTAATAAAGGCACTCTCTGGGCTGAGGCTAGCTCAGTTGGTCGAGTGCTTATCTAGCACACATCAAGCCCTGGGTCAATCCCCAGCACTCTATAAACTATGTATGGGTGGTGGTGCTTAAGAGGTAGAAATAGGAGATCCAAGTTAAGGATAGCCTGGACTATAGGATACCCTGTTGAAACAAAGAAAGTAAACATAAAGGCATTCTGTTACAGTTTTTAAGAGTTTCTTTTCTTTGTTAAAGGTTCTGTTGGTGCAACTAACATGAATGAGCATAGTTCGAGATCCCATGCCATCTTCACAATTACTATAGAATGTAGCGAGAAGGGCGTTGATGGAAACATGCATGTCAGGATGGGGAAGCTGCACCTTGTGGATCTTGCAGTAAGTAGCAGGATGCTACTTAAGGGAGAGTTTGTCCTGTGGTCTATTCATCTGTTAATAAGAATTAAAGCCAGAAGGGGTGGCACATGTGATTTAAATTGCTTATTATGTGGGATATCTGACAGTATTATGGCGCTGGCCTTGCTTCTCCTCCTGCCGAGGCTCTTTGTTTCTTCATACTTCTTCTCTCATTATTTTGAAGTGAATTCCAGATGTTACATGAATAACCTTAAATTACTTTAAAAACCAGATTTTAGAAAAGTGTATTCTTGATTTTAAAAAAATTTAGTTTAGTTTTTGTCTGTTTATTGTAGGGGTCAGAAAGACAAGCAAAGACTGGAGCCACGGGACAGCGCCTCAAGGAAGCTACAAAAATCAACCTTTCACTCTCTACCCTGGGAAATGTCATTTCTGCCTTGGTGGATGGAAAAAGCACGCATGTGCCGTATCGAAACTCTAAACTGACACGTCTTCTGCAGGATTCCTTAGGAGGGAATTCAAAAACCATGATGGTAAGACTTCAGTCATGGCATAGTTACTTCGTATAAGGCCAATTTCAGATTCTAATTTATTCCCATAATTGATAGGAATAGAATTTTACAAGTCAATCCCTTTTCTTTGTGAAATACAACAAGTAATTGATTGTCCATGGTTGTATTGTTTCCATACCTGTATGATTGATACTGGCTTTTAGAAGACCAAGCATGTGTGGCTTGGGCATTTGTTAATGGTGTTATTACTATCGATGTAGAATGATTTGTGTTTCTAATTCAACAGTGTGCAAATATTGGGCCAGCAGATTATAATTATGATGAAACCATCAGTACCTTGCGATATGCCAACCGTGCCAAGAACATTAAAAACAAAGCAAGAATTAACGAAGACCCTAAGGATGCTCTGCTCCGTCAGTTTCAGAAAGAAATAGAAGAACTGAAGAAAAAGCTTGAGGAAGGTAACTTCTCACAAAGATTACTTACTGTCAGCTGAGGCATGCTGGTAACCATTGCATTTGTTTCCAAAATGAGCTGCCAAGCAGTCACCTCTAGCATTGTTATTTAAAGTGTCTGGGCATTGGTGGACCAAGCCTTTAATCCCAGCACTTAGAAGTCAGAGGCAGGTGGATCTCTGTGAGTTCGAGACCATCCTGGTCTACCAAGCTAGTTCCAGGACAGCCTCCAAACAATACAGAGAAACCCTGTCTCAGAAAAAGAAAGAAAGAAAGAAAGAAAGAAAGAAAGAAAGAAAGAAAGAAAGAAAGTGAGCTAAAGTGTCTGTGTGTGCCTCTGCGTGTGTTGGACATATGTGAGTGCAGGCGCACATGCCGTGGGTGTGGAGGTCAGAGGAAGGGCACCGTGGGAGCTGACTCCTTGCACTCTGGTTCTGGAGATTGAACTCATGTCAGGGTTAAAGGGCAAACATTTTACCTGATGAGCCCTTTGTTGGATCCTAACATTGACACTTAAAAATATTTCTGAGGAATATGTGTCTTCTAAGAAAATGTTTTCTAAGACCATCTAGAAAGTTACAAAATTTGAAGTCTCAGCCAGTGGTGGTGGTCCACACCTTTAATCCCAGCTCTTGGGAGACAAAGACAGGCCAGTCTCTGAGTTTGAGGCCAGCCTGGCCTACAGAGTGAGTTTCAGCACAGCCAAAGCTACACACAGAAACCCTGTCTCAAAAAACAAAACCAAACAAACAAAACAACAAAAAAGGAAACTGAATTCCTGCCTGATGGTGGTGAGGGGCTTCCTTTTCAGATCTGGGACTCCCAGGCCAGCAACAAGGGAAAACTCAGAGGTGCCAACTGCTACTAGTGTATCTGGGGAAAGCCAGGATCTGAGAAAAAGCAGTAGAGAACCGCTTCACAGATAATAAAGTTGGCATTTTTAAAATAGCCACTAGGTGGCATTTGTAGCTGGTTTGTTTTTTTTTAAGGTCTTTCATTTCCCAATTAGTGCTGAATATATATGCCTTCCATTTTGATGATTTCCTCTCTCTCTCTCTCCCTCCCTTCCTCTCCCTCTCCCCTTCTCCCTCCCTCTCCCTTCCCTTCTCCTTCCCTCTTCCTCCCTCCCTGCCCTGCCTTCTTCCCTTCCTCCCTCTCTCTCCCTCCCTTTCTCCCTCTCCTTCAAGACAGGGTGGCTTTCTGTAACCCAAACTGTTCTGGAACTCATTATGTAGACCAGGCTGGCCTCTCACTTAGAGATTTGCCTGCTCTGCCTCCCAAGTGCTGGAATTAAAGGCCTGCACCACAATAGCCGGGTGTTGCTTGTACCTCTTAGTCCTTGTGAGTGGTATGGCTGTGTGCTTTGGATACATATGTTCAAGTCCTTGTCCACACTATGCTGGACATGTATCCAGAGGCAGAGTCATAAGTCATATTCTTTGTAATGTGTTTCACTTTATTTGTGTCCTTCTGACCCTATGCTCTGTAGGCAAAGGCTGCCTCTGCCTCCCGAGTGCTGAGAACAAAGGTGTGCATCACCACCCAGCTAATTTTCCAATTTTTAAAAATGCAAATGCAGAAATATGCAAAGTCTTTCACACAATCCCTGTGTATGTTTACACCTGTACTCACAGTGGGTCACATTTTAACTTCTCTTTTAGGACTGTAAAAATAAAATTTATAGCTAGGTATGAAGGTACACATCTTCAACCCCAGCACTCAGGAGACAAATGCAGGCAGAGTGCTATGAGTTATAGGCCAGCCAGAGCTACATAATTAGATCCTGTCTCAAAAATTACTTTTTCTAAAACAGTAAAATAAAATTTCTGTGTACATTGTATGTGTGGTTGTATGTGAATATATGCATGTGCACATGCTTAGAGATGAGGACAGAGGGGGTGTTGTTCCTCAGATTCTGTCCACTTTTTGGTGAGCCAGGGTAAGAAGGCTCTCTTACTGACCTGGCACTCCTCGAGTAGGCTGGGCTGGCTTATCAGCAAACCCCAGGGATCCCCAGTCTCTACTTGACTGTCAGTAAACTATCTGTGAACATTTCAATAGATTTCCAATTTGTGTTTGATCAACGAGAATGGATATAGGCATTTTCTAAATAGCCAGTGACATGGTACAGACTGAAATTGTTGTTAAATTTCTGTCCAAGGTGAAGAAGTTTCAGGTTCTGACATCAGTGGGTCAGAGGAGGATGACAATGAGGAGGGTGAGCTTGGAGAAGATGGAGAAAAAAGGAAGAAAAGAAGGGGTAAGTGCTGTTTATTTCTAACTGCTCACAACTGATTAGAATTGCCCGCTTTATATTAGGTATTTTTAATTATAGTAGTGGTTCCAGCAGGAAATTTATGCTGTATGTGGTTAACTTTGTACACGCTCTCTTGCTGTCCCAGGATGCCATATTGCCGCTTATGAAATTTTAAGTTGTAAACCTCTGTGGTAGTATATACACTATCTTTCAGTTTTACATCTGTGTTAGGTCCCTACCAGCTTTTGAAATTAGGATAATGTGGGATTTTTCTTCAAGTGATGTTAGCCTTTAAAAATCATTGCCACTGGTAGGTTTGAATGAGGATCATAGTTTTTCACTGAACTCCTTTCTTTGTAAACTGTAAACTGCCATTCTTACCCTCCGGGGCAGCTTCCAGCATGTACTAAGACTGCTCTGCTGAGGCTTCAGTGGCATGGAGAGGAGAATGTCCCTGCCTCATTTCAAACTCAGAGCTCTGCTCAGCTCCTGCAGGCTGCTGCACAGTCATAGTTAATCAGTTATTGAAAACAAACCCATCACTGCTCTATGGGGGACCCAAATTAAAGACTGAAGATTGTATAGGGCAGAAGTTGGCAGAGTACAATATGCCGGCCAAGTCCATATGGAACCTGATTTGTAAAGTGTTCTTAAAGCAGCCTCGATCATTCGTTTACATGTGGTCTGTGACTCTTTCACATCAAAGCAAGTGGCCTGGCTGTGGTCTTTTCACAGAAACTGTTTATCAGTCCCTGACTTAAAAAATGTTTTTATTCATAGCTAGTTTTTCAGAGTAAACTATTGTTTTCTAACTTGAAGCAGGTAGTAGACTTACTAAAAATTAATTTTATATAGAAAAATATGTTGCAATATTTTAACTATGTCTTACCCTGTGCTGAGAAGCTTAACATTTTTCTCTGAGCCTTGTCAATTATCAATCATACTGTCACGCTTTAGACATAAGTCATTAAGTCTGGCAATATGATGTCTTGAGGGGATGAGGAATTGGAAACAATACCTTGTCTATAATGAAGGGCAGCTGATTTCTGTAACGTGAATAGTGTGATTTTTTTAATGTTTTAAAGCTGTTTCTTTTTCTTAGCAGTGTAAATAGACTTGCATGTCACCAGGTGACATTTTGTCATTTCAACTCTCTGAATAATCATGTGTAGATGAGTAGTGGGGTTTGCCATTACTGCAGATCTGTAAAGAAATGCAGTTTTAATTCCCTGCATGGCTTTGTGACAAGGAAGCAGCTAACTACTTAGTTTTAAGCTAGAGTGAGTTGCTCTTGAATGCAGAGCTTGATTGTCCTCTAACTTCTTCCTGCAGAACTCAAGTTTTCTCTGTATTTTTGTTCGTTTCTTGTTCCCTCTCTCTGGTTCCGTGGGCTCGTTTCTTTGTCTTACAGGCAGTAGCAGCAGCAGTAGCTCAGACTCCACATGTTCTGTCATAGAGAAGCCTCTGGATGAGTTCTTGCCTCGTGAGTGGCGGCCCTCACCTTCTCTGACAGAGCTCTGGCTTCTCCATCACTCATGGGCTTCATTTGGGAGATGGCTGCCCCACTCCCTGTCATGACTGGTCCATGTTGGGCTTCCAGTAGAAAAGCATGTGGCCCTACCCTGCCATGGCTTCAGTTAACTGTGAAACATAGGCCAGAGCCTATGTTTGAGACAGTGGAAGAGAGAATCATGCTTTTGCTGCTGAGATAATGTAAAGAGAGCTAGTAAGCTGTGTGAAAGAATAATTCTCAGGGTTCTTTTTATGCCTCATTATACATGTTTAATCCTGGTCAGTGTAAGAGATGTGAACAACAAATTTTGAATCTCTATAAGTCCAAATTAATGTTTTTTGGTGCAGAAGCACCCAATGTAATAAGCCATAATGCTCCAAATAAAGAGATGAGTGAAGCCGGAGGCAGGGAAGAAGACTGAGTAGTGTGCTTGACTCCAACTGGATGCTTCCCCACCGCTAAGTTACCAGGTTGATTTTAAGACTCTTTCTGCAATGGGATAAGGAAATTCAGAGTCACACAGAGTTCATAAAGTCTGTCTAGACTTCTGCAGTCTTAATTTTTTTGTAAACTGTAAGTTTAAAAGCATTATTTAATTTTGTCTATTTCTACTTTGAGAAGAAAATGGGAGCGATGCTTGCTTCCACCAGCTTGCAGCTTGCTGTCTCTTAGAGCATTATCTGTGTGCTTACCTTTTCCAGACTAATGGCAGAAACCATTGCTTCTAGCTCTACTAGGGAAAATCTCAAGAATCTCAAGACACTGTGTCTGTTGACACAGTTGAAGCAAGTTACCAGAGCATCTGACCTCACTGGATAATTTATAAAATATATGGCATTGTTCAGACACCAGAGGAGTACAGTTTCATATTATAAACTGTGAAACAAGAGAAAATATCTGAGAGGAAGCATTGTAATTTAATTTTCTGTTCTAAAACTTACCATTCTTAGAGAGTAGTTATATGAAAGTAGGTTATGAAATGAGTTGGTCCTTATTCAATTCAAGACTTTTTTTTTCCAATTCAAGAAGCTTTAATTGCTGTTTTCATGCTTACCATTTAACTTTCGTTGTCATAACATGGATGTGTTTGGGAGGTGGAGAGATGACTGCCCCAGCATGTGGTTGCTGTGTGTAACTTGTGTGTATGTCCCCTCCCATTAAAAAATATGAATGGCCGTTCGATGTCCCTTGCTTGAATCATCAGTTGTCATTTATTTCTGTAGCCATTATTTAATTACCCAGAACAGTCAATCCATAGGCTGAATGTAATAAGTTTGCTACTATACAGGTGCACTTCATTTTAGGTAATTAGAGAAAGCTGCTTAAAAATCAGGTTGGAAAATAAAATATTGTGAACTTATTACCTTTGAAATTCATTAACCCTTTTGTTAATCACATTAGTATAAACTATTCTGTAATCGTTTATCTAGTTGCTTCAGGTCTACCTGGTGGATTTTCTTAAAATGGGGGACACCTGTAATGGGTCTTTATATAGACGAAACATTGAATTGGGAAATTTTGAAATGGACAATGAGAGCTTTGTTACTTTTAACTTAGTAATTTTAAAAATTGACTTCAGTTTTGGTTTTGCCATTTTAGATACCTTCCAAGTCTTAGTAGGTTCCCAATTCCATGTCTGTAATCCATCAGCATATGCACTGAGCTGTTCCACTCAAAGGGGGAACCACAGAGTGGATTGAGTCTAGCATTCGTGATTGTCTTCTTAAGGAACATGCTTTCTTTTTCTGTGGACTCTATTTCAGTTTTGATTATTTGATTCATGTCTTTGCTCATGCTAAATGAATGCTGTTACACATCTTCTCTGTTTTACAAAGGAAATAATGTTTTCCTTTCTTCCCTCCTCATCTCTGTGCACATGTTTCCTGTCTGCGACTCGCTTACCGCTTCTTTGCAAGATCAAGCAGGTTGGTGTGATTGGCTTGCACTCCACGTGGTGCAGTTACTCATTTCTCAAGATCTTTTATTTAAGTTCTCCACTTTTTTTAATTTAATAATTTTAACAAGGTAAGTATCTGTCTTTTTTTTTAAATTCCATTTTAGCTACTTTAAAAAACTTTTCCCCTAAATTCTTAAAGATCCACTAAACCAGTTTTTGAAAATACACTTATAATTGATTTGACTTTCGGACATTTTCCTCTTTTGAAGGGCAAAAGTCAGTCCCTGTTGCCCACACCATGGGTGCTTGAGACGCAGATGACACTCATCCAGGTGTCGCTTGCTGCAATGCCACCCTTCCCTGCCCTGCAAGGTCACCTTCACCTGGGGAAAGGGAACGGAGGGGCTCACTGCTTCTGTTTGACTAAGCAAAATACCTTTTACAGTATCAACATGCCCTTTTAGATTTGTTTCTTTGTTTGTTTTTTATTTTGAGACAGGGTTTCTCTGAGTAACTGCCCTGACTGTCCTGGAACTCGATTTGTTGACCAGGCTGGCCTTGAACTCACAGAGATCCTCCTGTCTGTCTCCCAAGCACTGGGGCCAAAGGCATGTGCCATCACTGCCCAGCTGCCTTTTTAGATTTATTTACTTAAAATTTTTGTGCAAAATTTTATCATAGAGAACTAGAAAAGTTTCTGAGATTGGGTTTTTATTTTGTCTTGTTTTTTAAAATTGATTTGGTTGAGGAGACTGTGTTTGTGTGTATTGTTCTGGGAATTAACTCAGGGTGGCCAAGGACTGAGCTGCACCCCATCTCCTTTGTAAGATCTCTTCAGAAGTGTATGTAGTCTCTTACCCATGGAGGGATCAAAGTGCTCATTGACTGCACTGGAGACAGATCGCTTCGACTCCCACTGGAGGCTGAAGCTTGTATCAGGGGAGCTTAGGCTAAAACTTCATTCCTTAAAGATCTATGTACAAGTTACTCTTGGTCACCAAGGCTTTTACACAGCCATATGTAGCTTCAAGTGTTATGGGAAGAAAATATGGTGGCTTGTACCGGTGATTCTGGCTAAAGCCACATGGACTTGAATGTGTGGACTTTTGGACTAAGCCCTCTTGAGCACAGTGAGATGCATGCTTCTTTCTAAAGCCTGTGGTTGAAGGGTTACTAGGTAAGGCAATCAGTTCATCAAGACACAGTGCTTATACGCTTTCATGTGCAAACCCTTTTTGTAATACTCCCTCCTGATGGACTTTTGAAACTCCTTATAACTCTTAGCAAAACAAAACACTACAAGTCCAAAATTCATACATTGATCCAATGATTTAGTCTGTGTCCTTAGGACCCATGCCTTCTACACACACTATTTTGGTTTTGATTTATTTGCTATTTTTCTCTAAACATTGGTAATCCTGAGGTGGAAGTTACATATTTTGTTGTACATGTACTTCCTGTAAACTTCAATTTAGACTTTTCTCCTCAAATTTTTAATAACTATTACTATGGATAGAAAATCTTCTCAAGTAATTCGTTGGGAATAGAAGTTAACTTATTTGTGAAAGTTATTCTTCTACAGTGTAATTCAGAAGGTTCAAGGTAGGTGGCTGTGCCAATAGGCCCAGGCCCACCTCTGACACGGAGTGCAGTGAATCACACCACACCAGCCGCCTGGATCACAGCTTAGTTCCTCTTTGGTTTTGTGCCTAAGTTTTTGCTTTAGACTTTGGTTCTGTAGAAGGAAGGATGCCGTTAAACCCATGAGTTCCTAATGAGATTTTGTTTCCAGAGTTGAAAAGCCTATGCATGATCCTATCTTTCATGGTTCCTACAAGAACATGCTCAGATCTGTAGTGCCATTGGGATTGTTGTTCAGTTCTTTTTCCTTATTAGCAGGAGGGGCTGGGCTTGGGGTGGAGACGTTAATCTACAATCCTCTATCCTTGTCCCTTGGGAAGGACATTGAGAATGGCAAACTCTCTGGAGAACCTCAGTTCTGACAGTTCTATGAAATGCTTGTTGTTCTGAGTGAGTGCATTTCTAAGAATCTGCATCAACCAGAAATGAACTGTCAAATTGGTTCAGTTTCAGAACCATTTTAATAAGCTAGCGTTTGTTTTCTCCTTTTGATTTTTTTCGTATCACTTCATGGTTTTGAGGTTCATTGGTAAACTTTGTGTGAGCAGGCTGCATAATATATCTCCACATGCTTGGACATTCCAGTTAGTCGGAAGCTGCATTCCAGCCTTATTAGTTGGTTCTTAGCATGTTTGATCTGAGTTAGAGACTTTGATGGTCTAGTCTGACATAGTAAGTTACTTTGGTGGCTCATTTATGATTTGCCCAGGCAGCTTATCAGTGTAAACACCTGCTGCCTTAAATGAGTGACTTACTTAATGAGTGTGGAAGTGACTGAAGAGTCATTTTCCTTTTTTGCCTCTGTATGCCATTTGGGGACCCACAGCTTTGCTTTTTTATTTGGCTTTCCTATTAACTTTCTTTCCCTCTTTTTCTGCTCATCTGTTTTGATCATCTTTCATTTTCCCCCTTACATATCATTAACAGTTGGACAACAGTTTGAATTTATTAACAAATTAAAAAGTTCTAGGAACTTTGAAGTAGAAATGGAAGTTTAACATTTGCTGTTGTATGACTGGGTATGGACAATGCTATACTAAGATCATTCTTAGGTCTGAAACATTGACTTCTTTTAGTGACTGCTGCAATTAAATGACTCAAATAGGTAAAAAGAAAGTTTCCCCAGATAAGATGGTGGAAATGCAAGCGAAAATCGACGAGGAGAGAAAAGCACTGGAGACAAAACTTGACATGGAAGAAGAAGAAAGAAACAAGGCCAGAGCTGAACTGGAGAGACGGGAGAAGGACCTGCTGAAAGCCCAGTGAGTGACGTGGGACTCAGTGGGCTCATGGCTGCAGTCTCTAGTGTTCCTCATAGGGATGGGCATCAGGAAAATCAATCAATTAAAAAATAATCAGAAGCTCGATTTTTGTCTCTAACATAGCTGTTCTGGGGTAAGGGTCTCCTGTCCGTGATGTATTTTTAAAGTTTAGTTGAATATTTCTGATCATTTAATCTCTGTGTAGGAGAAAATATTGGCCGGTGTGAATCACACTTTTGTGTATGAGTTAATGCCATGTAGTGGTGTGATTTGGAGAGATGTCACATGACTGAATTTTTCTAAGTGTGCATCTTCAGTTCTGCTTCAACTGGGAGTGAGACTGGAGCAGCAGATGACAGGTTTAGAACATTCTCCCTTTCCTATAGACAAGAGCATCAGTCTTTGTTGGAAAAACTGTCTGCTTTGGAGAAGAAGGTCATCGTCGGTGGTGTGGACTTGTTGGCCAAAGCTGAGGAGCAAGAGAAACTTCTTGAGGAGTCCAATATGGAGCTGGAGGAGAGGAGGAAGAGAGCTGAGCAGCTTCGGAAAGAACTGGAGGAAAAAGAGGTGATGCCCTGTTGAGTGTGGTGTGTACAGCATGCCCACCTCTTCCAGTGAGAAACTAAATACCAGAAATAAAGTGGAAAGCACATTGTGGACCATTTTGAAGACATTAGTAACTAAACATCTAGATCATTTGTTACATTGAATTTGTAACTTAGAGAAAATTATTCTGAAGTTAACCCGTTTTTATCATAGCAAGAACGCTTGGACATTGAGGAAAAATATACCAGTCTGCAAGAGGAGGCACAGGGAAAGACCAAGAAATTAAAGAAAGTCTGGACCATGCTGATGGCTGCAAAGTCAGAGGTTGGTGTCTTAGAAATTGTCCATAATACAAATTAGAATCTTGATGTGTGCTTACAAGTTTTTTGTTTTTGTTATTAAGACAGGGTTTCTCTCTGTAGCCCTAGCTGTCGTGGAATTTGCTCTGTAGACCAGACTAGCCTTCAACTCACAGAGATCTGCCTGCCTCTGCTTCCCGAGTGCTGGAATTAAAGGCGTGTACTACCGCTACCCTGATTGTGTGCCTGTACTTTTGAAACATTGAAACACTCACTTCTTTCTATGTATCTTAAATTTTACTTAAGAACACCCTACTCCCAGCTATAAGTAATAATCCAAACCAATTAGTGATGGTGTCAATCTGTCCGAGAGCTGGGGCAGTTCTTGCCAGGCCTCATAGGCCTGTGTTTGTGCTTGAAATTGTGTTTGCTGCCAGGCGGTAGTGGCCACACCTTTATTCCCAGCACTTGGGGGGCAGAGGCAGGAGGATCTCTGTGAGTTCGAGACCAGCCTGGTCTACAAGAGCTAGTTCCAGGGTAACCTCTAAAGCCACAGAGAAACCGTGTCTTGAAAAACCAAGAAAAAATTGTGTTTGCTATATACTGTCATGGATTCTCTGGTAGATGGCTGATCTCCAGCAAGAGCATCAGAGGGAAATTGAAGGCCTCTTGGAGAACATTCGGCAGCTCAGCCGCGAACTTCGGCTTCAGATGCTCATTATTGATAACTTCATACCTCAAGATTACCAGGTGAGGGGAGAATCTGCTCTAGACATTAGGTCATTGATGAGGGCTAAAGAATAAGCCAGTATAACTAATTAAGACGTTACATGTTTGCATTGCAGCTCTCCTCTATAAAGCTTTCTTGAACTAATGCCATCATATAAAAGTGTCTTAATTAGGGTTGCTATTGCTGTACTCAAACATGATGACCAAAGCAACTTGGGAACAAAAGGATTTATTTGACTTACATTTCCACATTAAGTTCATCAGGGAAGGAAATTGGGACAGTAACTCAAACATGGCAGGAACATAGAGACTGGAGCTGATGCAGAGGCCATGAAGGGGTGCTGCTTACTGACTTGCTCAGGCTGTTTTCTTAGAGATTCTAGGACCACCAACACAAGTATGGCACCATTCACAGTGAGTTTGAGGCCATCCTGGTCTACAGGGAGAGTTCCAGGACAGCTAGGGCTACAAAGTGAAACCCTGTCTCAAAAAAAAAAAAAAAAAAAAAAAAAAAAAAAGAAAGAAAGAAAGAAAGAAAGAAAGAAAAGGAAAAAAGGAAGAAAAATAATGCCTTTCAACTAGATCTTATGAAGGCATTTTCTCACACGAAGTTCCCCCCAATGACTAAGAGCACTGGCTCCTCTTTCAGAGAACCCAGGTTCAATTCCCAGCACCCACATGGCAACTCATAACCATCTATAATTCCAGTCCTGGGGGATCTAACACCCTCTTCTGTCCTCCACAGGCATCAGGTGGACATGTGGTACACAGACACACTTGCAGACAAAACATTCATATACATGAAATATTTCCATAAATATTTTTAAATAAAAAAGGAATAAGCAGAATGTGCAGCTGTCCTCTTGATGTGTGCACGGTGGGTGTGTGTGTAAACAGAACATGAAGTTGCCCATTCTAGTCATCTTTTCATATACAGTTCAATAACACTAAATGTATTCACTTGGTTGTACATCACTAGTCATTTTCAGACAGGTGGCAATTGTTATCACCAGTTGTGAGCTGCTGGATGTGGGTGGTGGTTAGTTAACGCTCAGGTGTCTACAAGAGCAGTGAGCACTCTTAACCCCAGAGCCATCTCTGCAGCCCACCTACTGGTGTAGTCCTAATAAACCTAAATGTGTGATTTTAAAAAACAATGTTATGAATTTCAAAATAGCTATGAGAAATGTTTCTGAAATTTTCCTTTCAGACCTCAGGTTCCCAGAATCAATCCTGGGTACTAGGATGGGATGTCCTAGTTCCATGTTGTAATTTATTACCCAAAATCAGAGCTGAAATCTAGAGTGTAACCTGTTTCTAGCTGAATGGTTTCCCAGCTTCTACCTTTTGTCTCTTGTATCCCAGCCTGTGTGTCCTCCTGATTCCCAGGATCCCAACTTTTGCTTTTTGTTTTTATATAGTTGAATAGTATCCACATGTGTTCTTAAGAAATGTGTGTGTGTGTGTTTAAATTTGTTTTTATTTCATGTATGTGGATGTTTTACCTGTATGTATATATGTGTACCATGTGCATGCCTGGTGCCCAGTGACAAGAAGAGGTGTCGTATACCCTGGAATTAGTTACATTCTGTTGTGAGCCACTATGTAGGTGCTGGGAACTGAACCTATGTCCTCTGCAAGAACAATTGGCCTTAATCACCAAGCCAACTCTCTAGCCCAAGGAGTATATATTTTTAAATGCTTGATGAAGTATATGATGTTTAGAAACAACTTTCTTCACTTAACACTGATGAAAGTGTAGGTCTAATGGGTCAAATGGTTCAGCAAGTAAAGGCTTTACTATTATGTAAACTTTGTGACCTGAGTCTGGTCCCTGGAACCCACAAGAAGGTATAAAAAGAGAACTGACTCCACAAAGTTTTTCTCTGCCCTCACATAAGCACCATGGCATGGTCCTCCCCCAGTACACACAATAGTGATAAGATGCAGGACCCTTAGAAGCTTAGTTCAAGGAAGTCATGTGGGAATCAAAGGGATCATTATAAGCAGTATGTAGTGACAGATGCAGGAGAATGTCACATTTCTATTCACAGTTCTTTTCATATTTTTCAATGTTTTAACTAACAAAGTAAGCTTTGACTCTTTCTAAAGGAAATGATTGAAAACTATGTACACTGGAATGAAGACATAGGAGAATGGCAGCTGGTGAGTATTTCTCTTACCTTCATGAAATTATGAGGTGGAGCTGGTGCTGGCTGCTGTGGGCGGAGGGTGGCCCAGGATGGATCAGATCAGAACTCAGTGGACCAGATAAGATATTTTTCTGATTAACAGCAGAGTGGAGATCTTTTGTGGCAATGGGTTAGGCCTGGGGCTTCTGGGTACTGGAGGGCCTCTTGGATCATTTCTGCTCTAGGATCCACATGGATGGCAGGTGTCTTCCCCATTCCCAGTGTTAATTGAGACATTTCTCTTCCCTCTTTTCCTTTTTTGAGAAATGTGTGGCCTACACAGGAAATAACATGAGGAAACAGACCCCAGTGCCTGACAAGAAGGAGAGAGATGTAAGAACACTTTATACACCTGATTGTCTTTATCAGAATTGGGGTCGGTGGGTGCATTGTCCCAGCGTAGGGGCTGGACAGCCTGATTATCTTTTGTGAGTAGAGGCTCTTGGGTTTGGACTGTTAGGGTAGGCCTGCTCTCTGGCACACACTTAGTCCTCTTTTCACTCCTGCCACAAGTACAGGCTGCTGTCACTCCCTGTCCTTCACCACTCTGGGCTGTGGGCTGTGGCAGGAGACTGCTTGGCTTCCTTCAGTCCTGGGTCAACCAGTGTGCTGGATCTAGAGAAAGGAAGACAGTTTCTCTTTATGTCTGGGGAACTTATGGTATGTCTGGGCTCTACTTCTCCAGTTTTGAGTGCATTTCACATAGTAGGGGAGAAGACATCTTTAAAAGGTTATTTGGTTTTGTTTTCAGTGATTCTTTTGCCCAGTGTCAGTCTGTGTTTTAAATCTTCCCCAAATCTGATTTAACTTTGTGTGTGTGTGTGTGTGTGTGTGTGTTTTGTTGTAGCCTTTTGAAGTAGACCTTTCCCACGTGTACCTCGCCTATACAGAAGAGAGTCTGCGTCAGTCTCTGATGAAGTTAGAAAGGCCACGGACCTCCAAGGGGAAAGCAAGGCCAAAGACTGGGAGACGGTGAGGTCATCCCTAGGTCCCTAAAGTGACAGTGTTGTGATACTATATTTAGATACATCTAAAGGAAGTCAAAGTTTAGTTAACATGACATGTGGTTTGAAATTATATTCTCTATTCAGTTAGTATTTGATAAGGAAAATAGGGATAAAGAATTACACTCTGTGAGTTCCAGGCCAGCCTGTTCTACAGAGCAAGTTATAGGACAGCCAGAGCTGTCACTCAGAGAGACCCTGTCTCTGAGTGGGGGAAGTTGGATTTCATTCTAGGACAGTTGGAGTGGCACACCCCTTTATCCCAGGACTTGAGAGGCAGAGGCAGCCTGTCAGATTTCTCAAATCTCTGAGTTACAGGCAGGGCTGGTCTGTGTTACAAATTTCAAGACAGCCAGGACTACATAATGAGACCCTTTCTCCAAACAAAGCAGAAAAAGAACTGCATTCTTTCAGACTCCGCCCACAGGAGAAACCACTGTTCTTTCCTAGTGTTTACCCACCCCCACCACCTACTGTCTTGTTTGGGGTCTTAATTTTTACACGAATTCTATTGAGATGCTAATTACCCGGGCGGTGGTGACATGTGCCTTGGAGGCAGAGGCAGGAGGATCTCTGTGAGTTCAAGACCAGCCTGGCCTACAAGAGCAAGTTCCATGACAACCTCCAAAACCACGGAGAAACCCTGTCTCGAAACCGCTCCCCCCAAAAAGATGCTAATTAATTTGCCTCATTTGACTCCCAAAATACTGTATTCACCTGGCCAGTTTGCCCCAGGACATTGATTTCATAGATCTCAAGTTAAGAGAAGCTTGTTTGACTCTCTAGTGCCAGTTTTGACAATGTGTACTCTCTGTGCTTGATCAGATAAGCTCAGTGGGAAGCCTGGGCTGGCACTAATGCTGCTCATGCTCCTCCATTGAGCTAATTTGAACCAGTTGCAAGACTTTTGCTTTACCTGTAAGGTGAAGTGAATGGGTGTTATATTGTGTTACATAGACTTTTAGATATAATGTAACACTAAAAATGTTGGAATCATTAAAGTAGGGCTAGAAAGAATCAGCTACATGTTAAAATGTATAAGATTTTTGCATTTTTTAGCATTTAGATGAAGGATTTAAAGATTTTCGTATGCTAACTGAATCTTCACATGGAATCTTTAAGAATATGTAAGTATTTGCCAGGTGTTGATGGCTCACACCTTTAATCCCAGCACTCGGGAGGCAGAGGCAGGAGGATCTCTGTGAGTTCAAGGCCAGCCTGGTCTACAGAGCGAGTTCAGGACAACCTCCAAAGCAATGCAGAGAAACCCTGTCTCAAAAAACAAAACAAAACAAAAAATATAAAAGTATTTATTTTATCTGTATGTGTTTTTGCTTGCTTATTTATATATTGCACTGGTGTCAGATTTCCTGGAATAGTTGGTTATAAGCTACCAATGTGGGTATTGGGGTGTGTACTTAGGTCCTCTGGAAGAGCAACACATGCTCTTAAGTGCTGTTGTAAAACACAGCTCCCGAGCTGCCCCTCCCTGTTACAAGGTTAGTAGATGCCCTCCTCTGAGCTCTGCGGTCACTAGGAAGATGCACTAATATGTGGCAATGGTAGAGACATTCAGCCTCACAAAGACAGGCAGTGGAGGGCAGTACAGCAAGCTGGAGACTGCTTCTGTCCCTTGTTAGTGTAGAACAGAGGCCGTATTACTGCTTTATAAAGAGAACCCAGATTCTTTACATTAGGCCTCAAGTTCAGCTACATTTTAAAAATGTATAGTCCTTGAAACAAATAATTGATAAGCTATTTTGATATAGTTTCTATAATGCACCACTGTAAAAATATGCTTTTTGTTTATTTTAAGTTAAAGAAAATACTTGTGGGCCAACTTGTGATCCAGATTCTATAACAGAATCAAAAACTGCAGTTTTCCTAGGAAATAAGCAATTCTGTGCAGTAAGACATGTCTGTGCTCTGTTGTGAGTGTCCCATGCGTTGCTCCGTGAGAGGCCCGTGAGAGCACTCCTGCAGGCGCGGACAGTGTCCTGCTTCTCTGAGGCTTTCTGTACTGTTAGCCTCACAGAGGGAACGACCAAGGGGCATCCCTGACAAGCTCAGCTGGCAGCTGTCTGCACCTTGTCTGACCCTGTGCTCAGCTCCTCACACTGGAACACTGTACTGTGTGTGGCACTATGTTCTTGTGTTTGCTTTTGATCACCGTACCTACTCTAAAACACTCAAACTGACTGTCTCTTAGGGAAAAGCACTCATCTTGGATTTTTTTCTCTCTTAACAGAAAGCGTTCTGCAAAGCCTGAGACCGTAATTGATTCTTTACTTCAGTAAATGTTACGGAATTAAGGTTACAATAAAAAGAGTGATATTCTCATGCCTGGACAGAAATCCTTAATTAAGACACTGAGGACACCTATGTAATTCACATAATGGAAGCTGTAAATTATGGAGTAAGACTGGAAGTAGCAATTTTCCTAATAACTTTTAGACTCTTAAGTTTCTGTAACATGTAAGTGTGCATAGCTGGTGACTGTGGGTATGTCACACCGTGCCGCAGTGCTCTGTGAGAGTAAGGGCACCATTCCTATAGCGCGTTGAGGTTGTATGTGAATGTGCATCTCTTGGCTGTGTACTCAACTATTGTGTATCTAGATAAGCAGAGTCTCAGAGTAGAGGTAAATCCGTCTTGTTTGCACACAGCGCATAGCAGATGGCCTTGTCCTGTGTCCTCTGTCAATACCTGGGTGGCTCATCTAAGCAGTAACTTGTCCTAACACCTGACAGGCCTGCCCAAATGCATTCCGACTTTATACTAATGTTCATTGCATTTAGGTATGAGATGACTGCTTTTATGGATTTCCTTTAGAAAATTGCATAATTTGACTACTTTGCAGGTTTACATCTTAAGGTACAGTTTGAGCATGTGCGTCTTCTGGCACCCTCCACCAGGTTCTGTCCCCTGATGCACCTTCAGCCTTTGTCGTTGCTGCTGGTTTGACTTCCCCACCAAAGCCACACTGGCCACTTACCTTTGCTGCCACACATATTTTGTTTCTGGTTTTTTTTTTTTTTTTTTTTTTTTTGAGACAGGATTTCTCTGTGTTACAGCTCTGGCTGTCATGGAACTCACTCTGTAGACCAGGCTGGCCTCAAACTCACCTCCCAGCCACACACGCATTAAAAAAAAATTCCTTTGGACATATGGCTTACAGACACTCCATTGTCTGAATTTTAAGTTTTGATGGAAATGACTATACAAATTGAAACCACTCATTTTCAGAAAATGAAGCTAAGTCAGAAAAATATCTTTTAATTATATATAAATAACACTGCTCTCTGAATTTCTTCTATTGACTAATCCAGTTAGGCTATATTCCTCTCCAAAAAAGTCATATTCAATATATAGTAAAATAAGTTTAATAAATTTTTTATTTTTTATTTTTTTTTTTGGTTTTTTGAGACAGGGTTTCTCTGTATTGTTTTGGAGGCTGTCCTGGAACTCGCTCTGTAGACCAGGCTGGCCTCGAACTCACAGAGATCCGCCTGTCTCTGCCTCCCGAGTGCTGGGATTAAAGGCGTGCGAATAAATTTTTTATGATGAATGTTTTTTTTTGAAGTTTATGTGCCTCTTTCTAAGTGAAATTACACAGTCAACTCCAGGCTCTTGATTGCAAAGATTTTGAGACTTCCCAGGTTAGGATTAGTTAGGTTACTGTGATTTCAACAAATTTGGGTATATACTGACTTATAACTACAGAGCTCTGTGTAGACTGGATGACTGAGTAGAGGGAGAGCCTGGTGAGGTGATGGAAAATGTGGCCATACATTTGTGGAGCCTTCCAGAAGGAGCGCTGGGTGTCCCACATGTGCAGCATGTACTGATATGACCATGGCCACTGTGGCAGTGTCCTCAAGGTAGTGAATGTGGCCTGGGTGCCGTGACACCCGCTCATGTGAGCCAAGTGTCTTGTAAAGCTCATATGAGTCAAGTGTCTTGGTGATGTCAAATTTCTCCCTCGTGTAAATTTAACTGTTAGTAATTACAAAATCTTAGTTTTACTAGTAAGGAAAAACAGTCTATATGCCTTCACTCCTATTATTTAACAGTTGGCCTAGAAGGAATATCTGCTGTGAATGAAACTAAAAACATTAGAGACATTGAATCTAGTTTGTTAAAGCCTATAACAGCAACAAAATAATGGCATAAAAACTGAACATACTGAGAAAATTCTCTAAGCATCCTGACTTTAGTAATTTTGTTTGCTTGCTTGCTTGTTTTGAGACAGGATCTCTCTCTGTTAGCCCAGGCTGGCCTGGGACTCAACCCTTCTGCCTCAGCTTCCGTGTGCTGAGGTTGCAAGTGGTGTCATCACGCCAAGCAGTGTGTTCATTAAAGCATTTGTGTTAAAACTCTAATAAGGTGGATATTGTTCATTTCTTGAAAACCAAGTTAGAGTCTTGGCAGGTGGGAGGTCCGTTTAAAGATGGTGGGACAGGCACCCTGTCACAGCAGTGCTGGAGCTGCCTCTCATTCACTGTGGCTTTGTCCACAAACGGAATAGTTGCATTTTCAGTGTTAATTTCATGGATGGATAGAGATGAAGAACAAACTCAATTAATGTTTAAAATAAATGTACAGATTTTAAATGAGTGGGACAGATCTATAAATGATGAATATCCTTTTCCTCATTTAAAAAGTAGTATTTATTTATTTGAAAGGAACCCTAGTAGGAAGTTATGCTGGCTCTGCACTTACATGCTCTGACAGCCAGGCTGTCTTCACTCTGTCCGCCCTTGTGATGTTCAGGCTTAGCGAGGGGAAGGCTGTGCAGTAGTGTTTGCCTGACAGCGGAGCTGTCTCGTGTGTATTCTGGAAAGGGTGATTTTCTACTTTATGTTTCTGACAACCAGAACATCAAGGTTGTTTTGGAGAGGAAAGTGTTGCTTCATCTGCAACATGTTTTTAAAGTTTTAGTGTTTCTGTTATCATTTTAGGTTTAGAATGTGTCCCATTCTCCCCCGCCCCCTTTTAAGTCATAATGCAAGGAACACCCTCTTTCCAATAGAGCTGTGAATTAAAGAAAGGGCAGAGTTTACATTTACAAACACCTGTGTCTGCCCAGTTTCTCCCCTCCCCCTTTCCGTTTTGAAATACAATTCCATGTAGCCTAGGATGGCCACAAACCCTGTATGTAGCTCAGGTTGGCTTTAAACTCCTGAGCCTCCTCTACCTCCACCTCATGATTACTGGGATTACACTTATGGACCACTATACCCAGGTGCCCCCCCTCGTTTCTTAACATATATATAATTTTTTTTACTACTAGAAAACATAGTTCTTCCTAGTGCCTTTGAACTGACCCTGCAGTTTTGACTAATTAGAATCAGTGCAAACCTGAGTAGCATTACTGTAATGCTGTTACTGACCAGGATACAAACTGTATAGTAAGTTTGCTATGTTAATCAGAAGCCACACTTGGATTGTATTTATGTATAAATTGTATTTGTTCAAGCTGTATATATCAATGTTGTGTGTACATGCTGCATGGTAAGATGAGAAATAAAATTCCTCCCCAATGCCAACTGTCTTTTAAGACATTTTTATTTATTTTTATTTTGTTGTCTTCCTACACATGTGTGCACCATGTATTTGCCATATGTGTGCCATGTGCCTGTGTTGACCAGAGAGTGTTGGGTCCCTGGATCTGGAGTTACAGTTATGAGTACCATGTGTGGTAGAGTAGGTAGGCTAAAGAAATTCAAAGTGGGCTTTGAGACATTTTGATTTAATGACTAGTTTAAAGGACTTTTTTTTCACGTTAGCATACAAAGTGACTGAGCTTCGTTGTGTCATTTTCAGACATCCATTTCACTAGACTGTGTTCCTGTTCATCCCCCTTGCTTGCCTTGGTCCCTTCCTCTACCCAAAACACTTCCCTCTGTTCTCATGCAAAGGACTTATTTTTTAAAGCTGGGTTTGCTTCCTTTCCAACTGCTAGCTTTTATAGACCTCCTCCTGTGGAGATGCTATATGCACTGTCCTCTGAGCCAGATTATGGCCATCTTTGGGAGTCCAGCTAAGTTTGATGACCGTTGACAATCCTTGGAAGGAAAATGCAGGGAGCATCATCCCCGGCTGAGATGATGGCTTCTCCATGTCTCTGTAGATGGGGCTGTCTCCCCTCATCCTTCCCCACTTAGATTCTGCAGGTGTCCACTCCCCCATATGCAATTAGACAGAAATACAACTGGTTGGGGGGTGGCTAGATACTCAGGAGGGTCACAAGCCCCAAAGAAGCCTTCTCTAAAGGTGGATGGCCTCTAGAAATGGATGTTTTCACGGTTTCCTCTTCCTTTTAAAGACAGTTATTTTATGAGTCTGCATGTTTTGTCTGCATCTATGTATGCATATGCACTGTGCGTGTGCCTCGTGCCTGCAGTGGCCAGGAGAAGACTTCACATCCCTCAGAACTGGAGTTATGGACAGTTGAGAGCTACCATGTGGGTCCTGGATTCCAGTCCTGCAAGAGCAGCCAGTGCTCTTAACCGCTGAGCTGCCCCCGCCCCCACAGATGTCTTGGATTGAACTACATGATCTAATGGCCTCCTTACCTCTTGATGGTTGACTCTGGGTCACCATTTCCTATACCCTTTCTTCTTTGAGACTAATAGCATTGGTTTTGGCTGGGTGTTCATGTGTGTGCAGGTACAGGGTTCTTACTGCTTTAGGGCTGGCATACAAGTGAGTACTAGGTATGCTCGGTTCTCTGCCTCCCCTAGCCAGATACTGCTAAGCTCCTCTTTTTATATGGGTGCTGGGTCAAACTTATCACTTTACTTGCTGAGCCATCTCCTCCAACCCTTCCCTGCTTTTAAGATTTTATTTTTATTTATATTGTTTGGTGGGAGTCGCGAGAGGTATTTGCACGAGTGCAATTGCCAGTGGAAGCCAGAAGGGGGCGTTGGGTCCCCTTAAGATGGGGTTACAATCAGTCATGAACCACACAGCATAGGTTCTGGGAACTAAATTCCAGTCCTCTGGAAAAGTAGTATGTGCTCTTAACCTCTGAGTCATCTCTATAGTGTACCCTCCCTTCTCTGCGTGCCTTTTGTTTGTTTGTTTGTTTTATGAGACTGTCTTACTTAGCCCAGACTGGCCTCCAACTGTGTTTGTAGCCAAGGATGACCTTCAGTTTCTGATCATTTTGACTCCGCCCCCTGAGTGCTGACATCACAGGCTAGCCATTACTGTTTCCTGCGCTCATCTTTTCCAGTGAATCGTTCAATTCATTTGTAAAACTAGGCAGTACCTAAATGAATGATGGTCACTGACAGCCCAAGTCCAGTGGGAACAGTCCAAGGGCTCTGAAGCCCGGACCTGACCTTCAGGTTGAGGGGCGGAGCCTCCAGCCATATTTGTTAGTGGATTAGCAGAATTGCTCCTTAAAGCCGGTTCATTTGCAAAGCAAATCAGGTACTCCGTCTTCCTTCGGAAGCTGAGCCCTTGTGTGGGAAAATGTTGGTGAAGAGGCTACTTCAAAAACAACCTGTTTCCTCTCAGCATTTATCTTGGGCTTCCTGCGACCCAACCTTCAGGTTACTTTTATCAGTGTTATCAGAACATCGGGTTGTGTTACCCAAACTCGGTTATGGCTCTGAAGCATGGGACAGATCGGATGCTCTCCCACACCTGCTCCCCCCCCCTCGTCTCTCGGAGGGCTGGGGAAATTTGAGTTGTAATCAAAGGCTGCGTTTCTCCAATTGTAGCTAAGAATTTAACTGGGACTTTACAACCGAATAAAATTTTCTCAGAGTCCGATACCAATCTTAACAAAGAGGATATTGCCTAACCCGACCTAAAAGTACCAGAGACGCTGCAGAAATGCTACACTGGCCTCCCTTCTGATGGCCACCTGGAGTTTTGCCCCCCACTGGCCAGACAGCCTGCTTTCTGTTGCTAACTCTTTAAGTTAGTATACAAACGGCCTCGGTGTCATTGTGGCGCCCTCACACAGAAACACCAGCATAATTGTTATATAGTGCCCGCCGCCCCCTCCCCATCCTCCAAATAGTCCTGGCTTCTGCTTCTCACAGATCACGTGGTATTTCACCCACTCCACCCGTGAAGATCCCTTCCTCCTCCCTAATTCCCTTTCACTTTATCCGTGTGCACACACTCTGATTACACACAGATTTCAATCCAGATTCTGCAGAAAATGGAAAAAATTCTTTCTCAGTCTGGCTTTATTTTGTTTAACATAATCTCCAGCTACATCTGCTTTCTGTGAGCATCGTGATTTTTTCCTCTATGCCTAGGCACAATTCCGCTGTGTATATGAATGACATTTTTATTTTGCCTTGTTTTTCAAGACAGGGTTTCTCTGTGTGTAGCTATGTAGACCAGGCTGGCCTCGAACTCAGAGATCCACCTGCCTCTGCCTCCTGAGTGCATGCAGCACCGCCACCAGGACCCCCACCTCCCCCACTCCCTCATCCCTCCACTCTCCCACACCCCCACCGGGCTACAAACAACGTATCTGTTATCTCTTTATCTGTTGATAGACTCTTGGTTCCGTATCTTTGTGACTGTGCAGTGGTACAATGATTGTGAGTGTGCGAGCTTCTCTGTGGCGTGCTCACTTACAACCCTTCCGGTAACTGAATCGTACGGCAGGTCTGTGTTCAGTCTTTTTGGGAACCACCGCATCGGTTTCCGCAGTAGCTGCCCCAGCACGCTTTTCCACCAGCAGTGTACGAGTATCCTGGTGCCTCTTTTAAGTGTATCTTGGGATTGGGGAGATGGCTCAGTGGGTAAGGACACTTACTGAGTAGGCGTGTGGACCTGAGCTTAGATTAATCTTAGTAAAGGATGGATTGTAGGGTAGAATTGAGACCATTCATCCTATGTGGGCGATAGAGGAGTAGGCTATAATTTTTCGAGTTTGAGTATGGTTGAGGCCTCCTCATGCTCCGATTATTACTGAGGCGCACCGGCACCGCTTAGAAGCCCGGGTATGGCAGCCCAAACTGCCCAGAGTAGGTGGAGGCAGGCGAGTCCAGGGCACTCACTGGCCAGTCTGTTTGATATGGTGAGCTCCAGATCAAGTAAGATCCTGGCTCAAAAGCAAGATGGAGAGTCGGAGAGATGGCTCAGAGTAAAGGGACTTGCTTCACAAACCCACCAACCCGAGTTCAATGTCTGATACCCACCAAAGGAGGGAGAGAGAACTGACTGCACTCATATGCACATGCGTACTCACACTCATGCACACAAACACACTCATAAACACTCACATGCGCATACACACATAATCTAACATTCATAAAAAGTAAGACAGTGATTGAGAAAGACACGTGACATTACCTGGCCCTCACATTGTCATGTAGAGTCCCATGGACACACATGCTTGTGCACACACATACAAAGCCAGTCTGGAGTGCCGAGCTGAGAATGTCAGAGTCTCAGGGATGGAGATCAAGAGGCTGGGGATGCTCGCAGTAAAATGCTTCCCTACTGTGTACAAGGCCCTAGTACAGCAGAAGGAGGAATCTTTTTATAAATTATTTATTTGCATGTATGTCTGTGTGAGTGTGTCAGATCTTGGAGTTATAGACAGTTGATAGCTGTCACATGGATGCTGGGAATTGAATCCGGGTCCTCTGCAAGAGCAGTCAGTCTCCTTAACCACTGATCCATCTCTCCAACCGGAGGGGGGAATCTTTTTAAAACTGTTTTGCCTTTTTTGTTTGTTTGTTTGTTTGTTTTTTGTTTTTAAAGAGAAGCCAGTTCAAGAGATGTCAGCCACAACAGCTACTTAAGGGACTACAGTGCCCAAGAGTAGAACCCTACCTCGTGTTGGATAAATTAATCCTAGGAGTTAAGAAGACATGGGCCCCCTGCCTTGCCCTGGGTGGAGGCTGACAGAGCTGAGCCCTGGCCTGTGTGTTGATGGGTCACGCTGTGGCTCTCCCACGAGGAAGCTGGTGCTGCGTTTTGTCTCCGAGGATCTTGATACCGTGGGGTGCCAACTGAGAGGACAGGTGCAGGGACACAAGAAAAACAGAGGTCACAGGCAATGGTGCAGGCAGGGCAGTAACAAAAAGAACCCCTGGATCATTTTTTAAATTACACTTATTATACATGTGTGTGCATGAGCACTTAGGAATACTGTATATGCAACAGCCCATGTGGTTCCTAGAAGACAGCTTGTAGAAGTCAGTTCTCTCCTACCATGTAGGTCCTGGGACCAAACTCAGGTCTTCGAGCTTGGTCATGAGCCTCTTTATTTCTAAGCCATTTGGCTGGCACATCCGTGTGGCATTCTTAGTAGAGGCCAACATTTCTTAACGCACCCCCCAAAAATGTTGCACACAAGACACAGCTATATGGTTTTGTTATTCATTTATCCACTAGGTATGTATTATCTATTGCCAAATGTCAGTTACAGATGACCTATCCAGTGGCTGGGGACAAAGGAGTGACAATATGAATGAATCATGGAAGAGAGGGCCGATGGTTCCACCTTCGCTGTCAATTAACAACGTGCAATCCACTGAGCAGGCACCGGCTGTGGCTTAGGTGACCTCCATAACTGCTCCAGTCACAAGCCTCATGACTTTCACTTAATCCTGGTTTCTCTACTCACGTGTTTTATGTCTATCCTTCACCTCTATTCTCTTCTTCTCTTGGTCCAATCACAGGTTGGTGGTTGGATGTTTAAATCCAGAGTCCAGGACCCCCTGTCTGAATGCAAACAAGAATATTAGTGTGTTCTGACCACCCGAGCTTCTTGTGACCAACTGACCCACGGCCTGTGTATGTGTGCTGTGGTCTGTTGTAGGTCTTTCTTTTTGACAGACTTTCCTTTGTCATCCTGGCCTCATATACCAAGTGCAAACCCACAGCTCATATCCTGTGGCAGACACAGCTCACATTAGCCAGCCTATGCAAATGAGCTTCAATCAAAGGAGAGAGGAAATTAAATTTTTCACTGTGTATCTTCCCCAAGTGGCCTTAGAAGCCTTTATTGCCCTTGGCACACTGGTATTTTATGTGGGCAGGGTGAAACTGACTGTGGTCAGGGTGAGATTTTAAGATTTTGATTTGTTTTGAAGGGGTTAAAAAGTTGGCATGTATTTTTGGTGTGATTTTAGTATTGGTGTTAATTTTCGTCACATGCGTGTGATTGAGGGTCAGAAGAGTGCCAAGTCACTGTTACTAGATTCATCCTCCTTCACAGAGCACCTTCTGAGTGGCAATTTTCCTCTCTCTCTTCCACCCCTTTTAAATAACAGTGCTATTAAGATATAACTCTTGCCCTTTAAAAAATATGTTTTGCTGGGTGGTGGTAGCACACATCTTTGATCCCAGCACTCGGGAGGCAGAGGCAGGTGGATCTCTGTGAGTTCAAGGTCAGCCTGGTCTACAGAGTGAGTTCCAGGGCAGCCAGGGAAAGCCTGTCTTGAAATTAAAAAGTATATATATATATATATTTTATATAAGATATATATATTATCACTCTAATTTCATGCATGTTTTGCCTTTATGTATGCCTATGCACAATGTAGGTGCAGTGCCTGTGTATCCCTTAAAACTGAAATTTCAGATGGTTGTACGATGCCACATGGGTGCTAGGAATCAAACCTGGGTCACCAAAACAAAACAAGAATTTATCTCTTATGCACATGGACAGAGGTTAGAGCGCGCACACGCGAGCCCACAGACACATTCAAGCACGCGTGCGCGCGTGCGCGCGCGCGCGCACACACACACACACACACGTACTTAAAATGGACTGACTGCTAACCAATAGATGCCTCCAGCTTTGCTTCATTCCTCCTTAGCCTAAGCACCATCCCATTCCTCCCCTCTTTTTTCTGTGTATTGGGGTTTGGCTTGCATGTTTGCATGAGGGAATCAGATCCACTGGAACAGGAGTTACAGACAGCGGTAAGCTGCCATGTGGTTACTAGGAATTGAACCTGGGTCCTCTGGAAGAGCAATCAGTGCTCTTGACCAATGAGCCATCTCTCCAGCCCCTTCCCTTTGTTTTGTATTCTTCCAGTGGCTGTCATCATACATTCTTCATTTTTTAGAAAGAAACTTTAAAATAAGTTTGAAAACAAAGCAGTTTACCCTGTGTCCTGCCCCCAGCCACAGCCATCAGTAACTCAAGCCTACTCTCTAAGCTTTTTTGAGATTTATTCACTTTTACTTTATGTGTGTGCATGTATTGCTTGCATGCATGCCTGCGTTCTGCATGAAGTGGCCACAGAGGTCATAAAAGGGTGTCAGGTGCCCCAGAGCTGGGTTTCGGACAGTTGTGAGCCACCACGTGGTGCTGGGACTTGAACTCAGGCCCTTTGGAAATGGAGCCAGTGCTCTTACCCAATGAGTCGTCTCTCCGGCCTCATGACTACACAGTTTTCATAGTTATCAGCTTTAGATATCACATATCGATTTCCTTATTGAAAAATTAAGATTTACTTCTTTTTTTTTTTTTGGAGGGTACAGAGCTGAAGCAAAATCTCATTTACCCAGGTTGGGCATAACACATTTTTTAAAATTTACTTTTATTCTTTGAAATTATCTGTAAATGTGTGTGTCTGCATGTGAATGTGTGCTGACGAGGTTAGTGCCCTCAGAGGCCAGAGGTGTCAAATCCCCTAGAGTTACAGACAGTTGTGGTCCACCATGGGGGTGCCAGGAACCAACCTGGTCCCTTTATTGGGAGCAGCAAGTGCTCTAGCCACTGAGCAATCTCCCCTGCCCAGTAACTTTTTTTCTCAAAACAGGGTTTCACTTTGTAGCTCTGACTGGCCTGCAACTCACTATATAGGCCAGGCTGGTCTCACACAGATCCACCTGCCTGTGCCTCAGAGTGCTGGACTTAAAGGTGTGCGCCACCACGCCTAACCAGTTCCTCCTGCTCCTAGGCCCCCTGTCCTGTCTCAGTCAGTCACTTACTGTCTTAGCTCCTGCTCTTGCTGTGATAAGACACAATGACCAGCGCAACTCAGAAAAGTGAAGTCTCTGGGGGTTGGAACCCACGATGGCTGAGCAGAGGCATGGTGGCAGGGACAGCTGTGAGCTCATGTCTTGATCCACAAACAAGAAGCAGAGAGACAAACTGGGAATGGCCTGGGCTTTTTGAAACCTCACAGCCTGTCCCCAGTGACACACCTCCTCCAACACGGCCACCGCTCCTAACCCTTCCCAAATAGTTCTACCAACTGGTAACCAAATATTCAAACATATGAGCCCAAGGAGGCCTTTCTCCCCTACACCGCCACAGTCTCCTGTGGATCTAAGGCAACACCCCATAACCTGGCTTCCCTGTGAAATCTTTTGTAAAGTTTGCATAGTTCTGTTAACAGTTTTAAACACTTAAAAATGTCTGTTTTTTCTTTAATATACTATGATTGCATGTACATATGATGCACATGTAGAGGTCAGAGGGCAACTTTGTAGAACTGGCTGTCTTTTATGTGGGTTCTGGGGGTCCACGTTGGCCTGCCTCAAACTGGTTTGTAGGTATATGCGCACGGTGGGGGTGGAGAGGTCGAGGATAGCCCCATTGAGCCAGTTCTCTCCTACCTACTGATTCATCTCCTGGGCTCTTCTGTACTTATTTTGTTTGTATGTGCATGGGTGTCTTCTATACTTATTTTGTTTGTATGTATGTGCATGGGTGTTTTGCCTACATGCATGTTGCCTATGTGCCATATGCATGTGTCCACAGGAGGCCAGAAGAGAGCATCAGATCCCCTGGAGCTAGAGTTACTGTTTTAAGCTGCCATGTGGGTGCTGGAGATCAAACCTGTGTCCTTTGGAAGAGCAACAAGTACTCTTAGTCACCAAGCCATCTCTCTAGCCCCCCTTCTGTCCTTTAGTAATCTTGTGCGTTCTGTCCTTGATGAGAAGTGCGACTCCTTGAGAAGGAAGCCAGCTTTCTGTCATGTCTTTACCCCACCTGTGGCCACTGGAAATAAAGCTGGTTTCTGTGACAGTATAAACTATGACCTCGTTGCCAAATGAAGTGTCATTAATGGTCATTGCTGTTAGATTACACAAATACTTTATTTTATGAATTATAAATATATAAATATTAAAAAATAAATCATTAAAAAGTCATAAGTTAAAACGTGGAACTTCCACACTGCCAGTATTTCTTTTGCATGATCCTTCTTAGGCTTTCCAAGAAGTCTTTCAGTGTTGTGTACGTGGACTCATTCACATTGCAGCTCTTCTACAAAAGAAACGTTTCGTTGTGTGAGTATATACTTGGGTCTCACTACCTGTCTCGCCTATGTACTCGTTCAAGCAGATTCTGGTAGCCTCCAAAGCAATGTTCAAACCCAAGCTTCCAGACCTGAGTTTGACTTTCATGAGGCATCAAGATTTGGCCTGCTTTTTTTTTTTGGCATATGCCCTGGTCACTACTGGTCTGCCTTTGGGGTACCACTCGGTCTGTGGAGCAAGATGGAAGTCTCACTGCCCTCCTTCCCAGGAAGCAGTTGCATTCAGAGTGGGGGCACTTCGTGTAACAAGGCATCTAGGAAGCGCCCTCCATGCCAATGCTGCGGTGTGGGTCTCAGTGCTGTCAGTTAGTTATTCATTACGTAACTTAGACCAGCCACCTTGCTTACAGAAGCTTCATTCCTTCCCTTGGGGACCACTGTGGAGTCGTAGTGCCGAGTTTATCCATCAGTGATAATCCAGCCACCTGTACAAGCCACTGTCATCACTGTCCTGGTCATGTCCATCAGGATATCTTGTCCTCCACTTTCTGACATGCCCCCTTCCACCCAGGGGCCAATGTGAACAAATATCACTCCAAGCACACCATGGGCTCCACCCTGTCGGTAACTCTAGATATTTCCTTCTATCCTCGGGACAGCTTCCAAAGCTGTGTGAACCCAGCTGCTGAACCTACTACTTTGTTTTGTTTTTGGAGACAGGATTTCTCTATGTAGCCTTGGCTGTCCTGGAACTCACACTGTAGATCAGGCTGGCCTCAAATTCAGAAATCCACCTGTCTCAGCCTCCCTAACGCTGGGATTGAAGGTGTGCACCATCACCACCTGGCTTAAACCTACTTTCTTAACTGTGATCCAGCCACACTAGAACACATTCATTTCACCCAGGCATTTGTCTGTTAGCCTCATGGCCTGCTTCCTCACTTAATCCAATACCTGCTTAGAGAATCAGCCCCTCCCAGCCACCCACTCTCTGTATTCCTATGTCTTTCTTCATAGCATGAACACAACCAGGCATTGCATTGCTGTTTGCCTCTTCTAACTAACTGCTCCACTAGAACATTCCATGAGAGCAAGAGCTCTGCTGGTCTTTAGTGCTGCCTCTGCGGTGCCAAGTCTTTTGCAAGTTGCTGTCCTGCCCTTCTTACCTGTGGAAACAGGCTGCTGATGCCCCTGTAGAGTTTCTTCAGGTCTTTGAGAACCCTGGAATTGTTCTTCAAGCACAGGGTCACCTCATGTTGGAAATAAAACTTGCGAAGCACCTGGGAAGCCCTGCAGATGAGGTCTTTCTCCGTGGAGTTCTGCAAAGAGAAACCATGCAGGAAGCTGTCGGCTGCTTGGGTTTGAACTTGAGCGGGAGATTTTCCTACCCCAAAGGTGGGTCTGCTAAACTCAAAATCTATATGAAAGTATTTCTGCAGAATCTCCCAGGTTCTTTTCCATGGAGGGTTTTATTCAGTAAAGTCACCCACCTAGGTAGATGGCAGAGTAGGGAGCACCTGCCTGCATCCTCAGTCCCCGCCTTTCTACCCTGTGGGCTTCCTTTCTGCCCAAGGTGCCCACGTGAGCTCTTAGCCGGCTGTGGCTCTTGTTCCTATATGGTCCTGGAGACCCTTCATGTTTGCTGATGACTGAGTGCCTGCTGGGGGCATGCTCCATGCAGCCCTGCTCAAGGACAATGCAGTGTTTTAAGATGCTCATAGTCCCATGGAGAATTAAGGCATGTTCTCCCAGAAGGTCAAAGATAGAAGTCCAGTGTGGGCAAGGTATCCAGGAGCCTGGCCTAGGGGTCAGGAAGGGCTCCTGGGAGGGGGCACCATTGACCTGGGCCTTGGTTGAGCTTCTGAGAGAAGCCTCTGTTCATCATTGGTAGAGATGAGAGCTCCTCGCTTTCCCCAAGGACTCGGGTCTCAGAAGACAGCCAAGAACTGTCTGTGCCTATGCCCTGATGTGTGCATGGTGACCCTGACTACTCCGCAGCCTGCACACCGGAAGTCTGACATCACCAGGAGCTTCTTAGTGCCTCTCATGGCCAACCGAGCCAGGATGTGCTGTGACAACACCAGGGGAGCTGACAGGCAATGTGTTGCCCAAGCAGCGTCTAGCTGTTCTCACTTTTCACAGTTACCTCATTTTTTCCTGACTATTACAGTATACTTATCCCACCAGCCAGGGTAACTCTTATTCTGCTATTATTTGGGTAAATATCAGGATTGGGGGAGAACTCAATGGTAGAATACTTGCCTAGCATGTGTGAGGGCCCAGGTTCAAACTCCAACACAGGAGAGAGAGAAAGAGAAAGAGAGAGAGAGAGAGAGAGAGAGAGAGAGAGAGAGAGAGAGAGAGAGAGAGAGAGAGAGAGAGATCTTACTAGAGTTTTGTTGGTTTGAGACAGAGTCTCACTGTGCATTCCTGGCTGGCCTAGAACTCACAGAGATCTGCCTGCCTCTCCTTCCTGTGCTAGTATTAAAAGTATGTGCCACCACACCCGGCTTATCAGTATGTAGCTTCTAAAAATAATGAGATTAAAGATGGAATTGGAAAAAGACTTCACCAAGTGGTGACTCTTCAAAAGAACTTGTCTCAAAGGCAGCTTGAACAGGGACCTTCAAGTTTTAGTCACACTGACTTGGCGACCAAGGATGAGATGCCACCCCACTTGCTTGATTGTGTCTCTGCCTGAGAAAGTCCTGCCTGGCAGGCCTAGCTGTGGCTCAGGGAGCAAGCACACGGTCGGCCAAGCTTGCACCTCAGGCCTCACCACAAGCAAGTCTGTGGCTCACAAGAGTGCAGGAAATGGCTACCTAGGAGGTGTCTTGTGTGGTGGCAACTGTTTCAGGTCCCCGGCTGGTCTCCACCAGCCTCGTTTAGGCCCAAGAGAGTTTAGTCCTATCTCTACTGCGTTTCTTTATCTCTAATCAGGCCCAAATCTAATCAGCCAGTGCTTTAGATGAGGTAATCTTTTAAAAATAAACCAGCCAGGCGGTGGTGACATGCACACCTTTGATCCCAGCATTTGGGAGGCAGAGGCAGGTGGATCTCTGTGAGTTCGAGACCAGCCTGGTCTACAGAGTGAGTTCCAGGACAGACTATAAAGCTACAGAGAAACCCTGTCTTGAAAAACTAACTAAATAAATAGATAAACAAACAAACAAACAGAGCCAGAGGAGATGGCCCAGTGAACCTGAGTTCAATCCTCAGAGCCCATGTATTTTTTTTTAAAGGGGGCATATGGTGGTGTATCTTAGTCATCCCAGGGCTGGAGAGGCAGGGACAGGAGGGTCCCTGAGGCTCAGTGACCAGCCAGCCCAGCCTACTTGCCAAGCTCCAGGCCAATGAGAGACTGTCTTTAAAAAAAAGTAAAAACGCAGCAATACAGAGGGTGCCACTATGTGGATGAACACACACACACACACACAGATACACACACACACACACACACACACACACACACACACGCACATGTGTGAACATACACACAAGCATGAACACACACAAACGCATGCATGAACTCTCAGAGCTTCCAATTATTGTGTAAAGAATAATTACCCCAACTGATGGGCACCAAGAGGCCCTTCACGGAACAGCCCCCTGACGTCAGCTTCCTGGCCAGTATTGTCTGTGACACCAGGGATGTATCTCAGAATCTTCCTACCACCACCTGGGCACCTTGATCCCCCAAATTTAAAGTAAATGTAGTAGATGTTGGAAAGGTAGTCTCTTGAGAGCCCCAAAGAAGTAGTCCCCCTCAAGACAATTTTGTGGGTTCTAGAGAATAACCTTCCCCTGGTGAGAAACTCCACACTATGAAAGTAAGCAATGCTGAGTCTTGGGGGACAGACAGGATTGGGGGTTGGGGAGCAAACCCAGGAGGTGCTGAAGCATTTTGGGGAAAGCCCAGGAAACAAGGGTGACAGCAGCCGGGGAAGGCTTGTTTTCGAGCACCTAAGTGTTGGGGCACACTGAGGAGGAGCAGAGCCAGCATGGGGGAGGGATGGGAGTGGAGCGCTCACAGTGGTCTAACACACACACGCACGCACACACGCTACACTGAGCAGGCTCAGGCTGGGAGCCATGGAGACTTGGGTGGCTGATGGCCCTCCCTAACTCAACCCATCTCAGCAGCTGGGCTGTGCCAGCCTTACACAAACACTTTCAATTAAACTCCTAGGACTGGCCTCCATCCAGCCCTCATGTGAACTCCAGAATCAACCTTTCTATCTCCAAATGTGAACACCGAGGCTCCAAGATACAGGAATATCTGCCAAAAGCCAGATGGCCAGTGAATGGCAGAATTGCAGTCAAAACCAAAGGCTCTCTCACCCAGGCCTGGTGCTCCCTCTAGGCCCAATTCCCAGGAGCTGGTCCCTGCACTGGGCTTTTCTAGGGCAGCACAGTAGACTCAGCTTCGGGTAGCTGCCATCTGAGTTGGAAGGACTCAGAGAATCAGTAAATACTTAGTGACATATGTATGTATGTATATATATATATGTATATGTCTATATGCACACACTATATATGTAGGTAGGCATATATGTCCACATAAACACACACATATATGCAAGTGAATGTGTACATATATACATACATGTACATTTGTCCTTCAGAAACTCATCCTGGAATAATCCTGAATAAAGTGAGACCATCCAGATAAAGTCCCGAGGCAGTTCCCCTGTGAATTGGGAGGAACCCTGATCATGGCCTGGGTGCCGGGCGATGATCCTAACTACTTCACCCCTGTTCGGCACTCGTGGGAATCAGGCAGTCGGGAGACCACTGGCAAATCAAGGCTCTGGGGGTTTCGTTCTCACTTGTGTGTTTCCATGAAAACAGGAACTGAAGGGCACAGAGCTATTGGTACAGAGGTAGCCAGTCATGTGTTTGTCAGAGAAAATGCACTATCAGCTGTCACATCTGTCCCCTCCCACTACAGATGGAGGGGTGGGGGTGAGGCAGAAAGGGGAGACAGATGCCAGGGCAGAAGCAGGGATGGTCAGATTCCAGCCAGAGGACAGTTCTAAACTAGGCTGAAGGGACTGGGGGGGGGGGGGGGACAGAGTGAGCTGAGGATCCACATAGAGGGCCACCATCCCAGCTGGCTCTTAGGTGACCAGGCTGAGAAAGAGGAGATCTGGCGGGACTGTAGGAAGTCTCTTAGACAAAGTGAAAGCCCTTCTCAACCTGTAATCTCCATATCTGTTTCTGAAAGAGTATTTGGTTTTTCAGAAATGCATGGGCCAAATGAAGACAGAGAAAGCGAGGAGAGAAAGGAGAGAATTCTCTCATTCAACAGGTAAATTATGTCCTATGTTGCAGAGACTGTGCCGAGACTGGGTGGGGAGGATTCTAGGGACCCTTGCACCCTGGGTTAGTATGAACAGACCCAGGCATTCTATGACATGACTTCTAAGTCTAGTGAAATCCGAAACTGCAAACTACACTGGAGCGTAGCTCAGTCTCCTTGGGGCCCGCCAGTTTTCTGTTGCAGAAGTTTCTCGTTCAGACATTGGCGGGGAAGCCTCCTCTCCCACCTGTCACATATGCCAAAGCCGACCCCAGGGCTCCACTTACCTTCCTTGCTGAAAGGGCGTCTGGTACGACCATCTCGGTGCATGGTGTCTTGACACGGACAAAATGGAAAGATAAGAATTAAATCCAGGCAGGACAGAGAAATTGTCAATACACCTCTCATTCCCTCATCCCGTAAAAACTCCCTGCAGCCTCAAAGTCAGGAGTAGTGGGGTCTCAAGAAGTCTGGCTATGTCCCTAGTCCTGCTCCAACCGCCAGCCACCTACCTCTCCGTCAACTCAGTTCTAGCCTAGAACAGCCGGCGGCAACATCACCTGAGCATCTGAGGAGATGGTGCCAGATAGCGTGCTCACCCCTTTTTCTGTGACCTGGTTCAAAATGTGAATGATCTCTTTCAAGGCTCCATGGTGGCATCCGAGGGTCCAGTTCCCGGTACATGCTAGAAGGCAGAGCAGGATGGCAGCTAGCTGGGGCCTGAGACCCATCAATAGATCTCTACCGTCAGTGATAGGAGACAATTAAGGTTATCAAGAGACGCTAACAATGCAATTCTGACAGAGATATCTCTATATATAGAGTTAAAATTGCTGAAACCAAGGGAAAGTGAGTTTACATTGGAAATTTTTGTTACACCAGATTGTCAGTTATTTTGGGCCAATCAGCACCTCTCTTCCAGGAGAAAAAATGCCTCAGAGAAACAGGTAAATTTTCCTGTGAAATCAGACCAATTGGAAAATGAAACCCTTTTTTAAAAAAATCTACAAAGTTTCAGCATAGGAAATTACACCATAATCGGCCCTGCAGATTAATCTTATCAGCGCTGGGGTTGCCACTGGCTTTTCTTTTGCACAAAAGGAAGAGGTGGCAGGTGTCCGGTGTGCTGGCGCATCCTGGGGAAAGAGAGTAATATCAGGAAAGTCTGGCGTGCACAGCACCCCGGGGTTGGCTGCTTCCTGCCATGGGGGCACCTTGGAAACTCTGGTGTCTTGGGAAACCCGACTCTGTTCTTCACTGATAGTAGGGTGATGGAGGCAGACCTTCTCCCGTGCTAGCCCAGCTGCTCTTACAAGTTTGAGGTCTGTGGAGACAGACAGGTGACATCAAGTGGGACGAGAAGAGCCATGAGGTCTTTACCAATAAGGACATCCCGGGATGGGTTGACCATTACCCCTCCCAAGGTAGAAGCCTGAGGAATAACTGCTTTAAAAAAAGTTTTAGCTGGGCATTGGTGGCGCATGCCTTTAATCCCAGCACTCGGGAGGCAGAGGCAGGCCGATCTCTGTGAGTTCGAGGCCAGCCTGGTCTACAAGAGCTAGTTCCAGGACAGCCTCCAAAACAATACAGAGAAACCCTGTCTCAAAAAACAAACAAACAAACAAATAAATAAATAAATAAATAAAAAAGTTTTAAGGAGCTTTAGAGATGGCTCAATGGTTAAAAGCACTGACTGCTCTTCCAGAGGACCTGGGTCCAAGTCCCAGTACCCACATGATAGCTCACAAACATCTGTAACTTTAAATTAGAACAAAACCAAAAACCAGTGATTGCTAAAAACAAAAAAGTTGAAGAAATAAAAACAAAAGTAAAAAATTTAAACACAGAGACACCCTGTCTCAAAACACAAAAAGTTTTGCAAATTAAGCATTTATTTTGTGTGAGTGTGTATCTGTGCTTGCTACAACATGCGTGTGGAGATCAGAGGACAACCTGCAGGAGCTGCTTCTCTCCTTCCACGTGTGGATCCTGGGAATTGAACTCAGGTTTGCAGGCTTGGCAGCAAGCGCCTATCCCCACTGAGCCACCCCCCTGGCCTGAGGATGGCTGGCTGCTTTTAAGTGAACTTAAACACATCCTCAACCAATGAGGGAACAGCCATGTCTCACCGGTTCCCCAGCTGTCATCCACTCCTCTGTCTTAATCTACTGCATATGGGCCTGGTGAGGGGCCAGCAGTAAACCCATTGACCCTGCCATTCGCCTGGAAGTGAAGGTTTTTTTGCAGTGACCCTTCACTCCTGTCCTCTGTCCTGTCTTCACATTCCCTTCCTCTCTTCTTTCTTTCCTTCCTTTCTTTTTTTTTTTTTTTTTTCTTTTCTTTTTGGTTTTTTGAGACAGGGTTTCTCTGTATATCTCTGGCTGTCCTGGAACTCACTCTGTAGACCAGGCTGGCCTCGAACTCACAGAGATCTACCTGCTTCTGCTTCCCTAGTACTGGGATTAAAGGTGTGTGCCACTAGTGTCTGACTTTTAAAAAAAATTTTAAAAATAAAACCTGTTTGAAGGTTCTCCTACTGAAGCCCAGACGAGCTTGGAAGTCATATAGCTAATGCTGGCCTTAGATTCACAGTGATTCTGCTTCCACTTCCCGAATGCTGGGATTATAGGTATGAACCACCACACCCGATTTACAAGTATCTTTTTAAAAATGTGCCTGTTGTAAAGCTGGACACAGTGGCATGTTCCTGTAGTACTAGAGACAAATTCAACATTTGGAAAATCGTTACCCACCAGGCACTGGTGACACACAACAGGCCAATTCCAGGTCTGTTCTCCTTGGCCAAGAACTAGAATAAAGGTCAGAGCTCTCTTTGGGTGAAGCAGATACATTGAAAAATAAAATAAAGCTGGGCAGTGGTGGTGCACGCCTTTAATCTCAGCACTTGGGAGGCAGAGGCAGGGGGATCTCTGTGAGTGCAAGGCCAGCCTGGCCCACAGAGTGAGTTCCAGGACAGCCAGGGCTACACAGAGAAACCCTGTCTCAAAAAACCCCCAAATAAATAAATAAATCATTACTCGGAGTTGGTTTTTCCCTTCCACTTCTCTGTGGGTCCTAAGGGTCACACTCAGCCTTCATGGCAAGCCTCTCCCTGCTCAGCATCTTGATGGCTCTGAAGCTGATCCTGCACTTTGCAGTTGGAGGACGGGCAATTCCTGTTTTGCTTTTAGAATTTTTATGTGTCTGAGTATTTTGCTTTCGTGTGCATACCGAATGCATCCCTGGTGCCTCTTGAGGCTTGAAGAGGGGGTTAGAACCCCTGAAACTGAAATCACAGATGGTTGTGAGCTGAATCAGGGTCCTCTAGAAGAGCAGCCAGTGCTCTTAACCAGGAAGGCGTGCCGAAAGGGGTGAAGTTCTTTTTGTTTTGCTAGACAGGGTTTCTCTGAGTAACAGTCCGAGGTATCCTGGAACTCAACTTGGTAGACCAGGCTGGCCTCGAACTCACGTAGGTACACCTGCCTCTGCCTTGAGTGCTGGGATTAAATGTGTGTGCCACCATTGCCCGGCCAAGGGTAGGGTTTTTGAGAAGAGCATTTGGCAGGTTGCCTCTAGGACAAGCAGATGTTCAGCTTAGGTTGAAGAATTTGGCTGGGGTTGAGCTTGCAGGTGAGCAGGGGTGGGGTTGAGCTTGCAGGTGAGCAGGGGTGGGGTTGAGCTGGCAGGTGAGCAGGGGTGGGGTTGAGCTTGCAGATGAGCAGGGGTGGGGTTGAGCTTGCAGATGAGCAGGGGTGGGGTTGAGCTGGCAGGTGAGCAGGGGTGGGGTTGAGCTTGCAGGTGAGCAGGGGTGGGGTTGAGCTTGCAGGTGAGCAGGGGTGGGGTTGAGCTTGCAGGTGAGCAGGGGTGGGGTTGAGCTGGCAGGTGAGCAGGGGTGGGGTTGAGCTGGCAGGTGAGCAGGGGTGGGGTTGAGCTTGTAGGTGAGCAGGGGTTGGTCATTGGAAATGAAACCCAGCAGGAACTTATCTTCCATAGCTGGAGGAACCCTGCTAGGAAGGGACAAAGAAGGACAGCTAGGGAAGAGCTGGATCCTGCAGTGCCCCAGAGGCAAAGGACAACAGGTTTCCCTCTGAGCAATAACTGCTGTGACCCTGTGGGAATGACGAGGACTCAGAAAGGGTTGTAACGTGGGAACTCTGCCCAGGAGCAAAGTTTGGTTTATCTTGCTTGTTTCATTGGTTGGATGGGGCCAGAGAAAAGAGGGTGAACTTCCCAGACAGCAGCAAATCTTCCCAAAGGGAAGAGAGGATGGTCCACCCTGCCCCACAGTGACAGGTGGCTGTGAACGGAGCTGATAAGGCAGAGGTTGGAAAAGCTGGTGCTTGCCCTGTCTGGGATGAAGGCGAGGGGAAGGCAGCCTACAGGAGTGTGGGCAGCGGCTGGACAGACTGGACACGGCGGGCAGGTGACTGTCACAGACCCTCCCCGACCCTTCCTGTGAGCCAAGAGTCACTGCAGCAGTTATGTCACCCAAGTGTGGAGTTCAGCAGACAGCTCCTTGTGACTGTGACCATGGAAGAATCCGTGTCTCCTCCCTCAAGGGCGCCTGTGAACAGTCAGAAAGCCATGGAAGGCACTTAGCCCTCGTCACCCCATGAAGAGGTTGCCACAAGGGACATAACTAAGAAAGAAAACTCAGCCCTAGCAGCATGTTGGGCCTGGATGTTCTCTATCTTCCCACGTGACCTTGGCCATACCCTCAGCCATGATCCCCAAACTGAGGAGTGGTAGCTGTACTTGCTTTTTGAAGTTATCTGGAGTACTGAGTTCAGGTACTTAGACAAGAACCCTGCACGCAGTGTTCTGTGTTGGGTACTTGATCATTAATCATGTGTTAGTTGGGTGAATGACTGAAGTACTCTCTATAACTCACATCTGGACATCCCAGCTTTGACACCTGGATGCTGTCCATGCCTGCCCCTCCCATATGTATATCTTTGGGCCCCAAGTTTGTTTCTGAAGAGTTGGAGTGTTTTCTCTTCAACTCTAAGATTTATGGAGCTGCATAGTGGAGGAAGCTGACTCTGTCTTGCCATGGGCACTTTATTCAGTAAAGGGAGGTGCAGAGGGAGTATTGAGGGGGCTGCTGGAGTGGGCAGACTGGGCTGTGAACCCTGACCTAGGCCTGGAACTTGGGCAGTACAATGCTGAGATGCAGCCATAATGGACTTCCACCACCTGACAAGTCACTCCAGGAGAAAACTTGGCATCCTCACAGCCCATTGGACGAAGAGGACAGTGTCACCTTCCTTCTGCTGTCTCTGGAGAAACCAGCTCCATGCAGACTCACTTCTGAGCATGCTCAGATCTGCCACTAGGAACAGTCAAGCCACATTGCCACATACGCTGTTAAAGGAGAAAGGAATAGAACCTTAGATCTGGTGTCACCTGAATGGAGGCTTGCCTTCCCTTCTGTCTCTGCACTGAGGAAGAAGCCCCTCCCAGCTCTTCACAGGCTAAGAGCTGGGACTGGCATTGTGGGAACCAAGCAAGAGGCAGTGCTCGGGTGGCCCAGTGTGGTGTCTATGGAGCCCTGGAGGAAGTGCAGGGTGTCTGGAAGGGAGAACAGACAGAGGGGGGCAGTCGGAATCTGCAGTTGTCCTGAGAGTCGTCACAGTGTGAGAGTGGGAAGGAGCTGCGGCTTCTTTGAGTGGCTCAGTGGGATTGTGTCAGAGTTAAGACCTGGGGTCCGACCAGGTGTGATGGCACATGCCTTTAATCCCAGCACTCGGGAAGCAGAGGCAGGGGGATCTCTGTGAGTATGAGGCCAGCCTGGTCTACAAAGTGAGTTCCAGGACAGCCTGGGCTGTTACACAGGAAAACCCTGACTCAAGAAACAAAAAAGACTGAGAGTTGGGAGCTAATGAGATGACTCAGTGGATCAAAGCCTGACAACCTGAGTTTAATTTCCAGGACCCACACAGGGAAAAGAGTAAACTGACTCTCTGTAAGTTACCCTCTGACTTCCACACACATCTATACACACGAGTATGCATACATATGTATATACACATGCACATACATCTATACACACATGAACATGCACACAACTATA